CACCAAGCACCGTTTTCCAATAACATTTGCTCACTTTGTGCCTGTGTCACATTTTAGTAATTCTCACAAAATTTTAGACTTTTTCACTGTTACTGTATTTAATGTGATCTACCTACCACCCATTTCCCCATCTCTCTCCCTCTCCTTGGGCCTATTCCCTGAGACACAACAATATTAAAATCAGGCCAATTAATAACCATACAGTGGCTTGTTTCACTGTCCATGTATCTATTGATGGAAACTGTCTTGCTTCCATGTGTTGGCTATTGTCAATAATGCTGATATAAAGGTAGGGGTGCATGTTACCTTTCTGAATTAGTGTTTTCATTTTCTTTGGTTAAGTAGCCAGTAGTGGAATTACTGGATCATGTGTGTAGGATTTGGTTTTAATTTTTTAAGGAACCTCCATACTGTTGCCCACAGTGGCTGCACCAGTTTGCGTTCCAGCAGTGCACAAGGCTTCCCTTTTCTCCTTTTCTCCACATCCTTACCTACACGTACATGTTATCTTTTGGATACTAGCCCTTCTGACAGGTGTGAGGTAATATCTCATTGTGGTGTTGATTTGCATTTTCCTGATGAGTGATGTTGAGCATCTTTTCATGTGTCTGGTGGCCATCGGTATGTCTTCATTGGAAAACTATTCGATCGTCCACCCATTTTTAATAGATTTTTTTTCCTATTGTGTTACTGAGTTCTTTATATATTTTGGATATTAACTCTTTATTGGATATGTCATTGGCAGATATCTTCTCCCATTCAGTAGGTTGCCATGTCTCATTTTAAATCAAAAGCTAAAAATGACTAAGCTTAGTGAGGAAGGCACATAGAAAGCCAAGAAAGGCTGTCAACTAGGGCACGTGTGCCAAACAGGCCAAGTTGTGAATGCAAAGAAAAAGTTCTTGAAGGACACTGAAAGTGCCATCCTGGTGAACACACGAATGGTGAGAAAGCAAAACAGCCTTGTTGCTGATACGGAGAGAATTTAGGTGGTCTGGATAGAAGATCAAGCCAGCCACATTTCCTTAAGCCAAAGCCTAATCCAGAGCTTTAATCCTGTGAAGGCTGGGAGAGGTGGGGAAGCTGCAGAAGAAAAGGTGGGAGTTAGCAGAGGTTGGCTCATGAGGTTTGAGGAGAGAAGCCGTCCGTAACATCGAAGTGCAAGGTGAAGCAGCAAGTGCTGATGGAGAAGCTGCAGCAAGTTACCCAGAAGATCTGGCTCCGATCATCAATGCAGACAGCTACACTAAACAACAGGTTTTCAGTGCAGATGAAACAGCTTTCTTTTGGAAGATGCCATTTAGGGCTTTCATAGCTAGAGAGAAGTCAGTGCCTGGCTTCAAAGCTTCAAAGGTCAGGTTGTCTCTGTTAGGAGCTAATGCAGCTGGTGACTTTAAGTTGAAGCCAGTGCTCAATGACCATCCTGTACACAAAGCCCATCGGTTTACAACATGGTTTACTGAATAGTTTTAAGCCCATGGTTGAGACCTACAGCTCAGAAAAAAAGCACTTCTTTCAAAATAGGACTGCTCATTAAGAATGTACCTGGCCACCGAAGAGCTCTGATGGGGATGGACATGACTCGGGCTGTTTTCATGCCTGCGAATACATCCACTCTGCAGCACAGGAATCAAGGAGTGTTTTTTACTTTCAAGTCTTACTATTTATGAAATGTATTTGTAAGGCTACAGCTGTCATAGACAGTGATCCCTGAGATGGATCTGGGCAATGTAAATTAAACCTTCTGGAAAGGATTCACCATTCTAGATGCCATGAACAACATTCGTGATTCATGGAAAGAGGTCAAAATATCAGTGTTAACACGAGTTTGAAAGACGTTGATTCCAACTTTCAGGGATGACTTTGAGAGGTTCAAGACTTCAATGGAAGAAGGAACTAGGGATGTGGTAGGAATAATAAGAGAACTAGAAGTGGAGCCTGAAGGGGCACCTGGCTAACTCAGTAGAGCATGCAATTATTGATCTTGGGGTTGTAAGTTCAAGCCTCATGTTGAGTGTAGAGATTACTTAAAAATAAAATATTAAAAAAAGCGGAGCTGTGACTGATGGGACTGAACTGCTGCCACCTCATCAAACTTGAACGGATGAGGAGTTGCTTCTTACGGATGAGCAGAGAAAGTGGGTTTCTTTAGATGGAATCTACTCCTGGGGCAGATGCTTGTGAAGACTGTCGAAATGACAAGAAAAGATTGAGAAAATTACATCAACTTAGTTGATAAAGCAGCAGCAGGGCTTGAGAGGATTGACTCCAATTTTGGAAGAAGTTCTGTGAGTAAAATGCTATCAAACAGCAGAGTATGCTAGAGAGAAAGGAAGTCCACCGATGTGGGCAAACTTCACTGATATCTTAAGAAACTTCCACGGCCAACCCAGCCTTCAGCAGCCACCACACTTGATCGGTCAGCAGCCATCAACACCCAGGCAAGACCCTCCACCAGCAAAATGATTATAACTTGCTAAAAGCTCAGATGATGGTTAGCATTTTTTTCGTTTTTAAAGATTTTATTTGACAGAGAGCACAAGCAGGGGGAGGAGGAGAGGGAGAAGCAGGCTCCTCGCTGAGCAGGGAGCCCGATGCGGGGCTCGATCCCAGGACCCTGTAGTCAACAGACTACAGTATAGTGTAAACATAAACTTTTATTTGCCCTGGGAAACCACAGAAATCTACTCAACCCACTTGACTGCAGTGGTCTGGAACCAAGCCTGTAGTATCCCCACTGTGTGCCTGTACTTACTTTCACACCATCGAGTTGAAAAATCGTAACTCCGACCATCATTAGGTTGGGGACTGTCTGTACGTTAATTAGGTATATAGGCGAGAACTCGAACTCAAGCTTTATAATGCAATTCGTTTCCAAAATATCCAAATCAATAACTTTCTGTAAATTGCTGGCCCAGGGTTGTTCTGAGTCTGGGCAGATGAACTTATAATTAAAACTTTGTATGAATCAAAGTATTTAAAGACACAGGATTCCCCTCTGTTCCTTAATGGAAAATGAGCCAAGCAGAGACGCCAGTGATGCTGAGGAAGCAACCAGATGTATAAAGACGGCCAACATTAATGTAGTGATTAGAGTTGTCCGGCAAGAGCAAGAAATGATGGCCCCTCCGGACAAGGCGACTGGGCAGCCATGTTTGTACAGTGAAACATGTGACCTCTAGAGCCAATTATTTCTCACAGGTCAAGAACAAACCATATTAAGTAAAATGGGACAATAAACAAGAAACATGCCAGGCTAACTTTGGGTAAATATGAGACTATTCTCTACATAGTATATGAAATAGATATAATTAAGAAATTAATAGACTACAGCTACAGTGGAAGAAAAATGGGCTTGAGTTTGAGAAGTCTCCTCCCTGGCTAGTTGTTATGTCACTATTTTTTATGTCTTCTATTTTTTTTGTTTGGTTGGTTTTTCTGTTTTCTTACATTTAAAATTGTTAAATAAGCCATAATTCTGGAATAATTTCTAAGGCATAAATGCTTATGTCAGTTTAAATGAAAATGCAGTTCATGGTTGTATGGACGACAGACATTTATTCACAGTGAAAACGCACGTACCCAGAGTGAATGTCACAAGATACAGAGTACTGCCCAGTCTGGTGAGCTCACTATTGTTAAGCATTCTCTCAACCCGCACAGGTTCTCTCTCACTCATTTTCACCTTTTTCTCCCTTTTTTATCTATTACCCGAGTTTCACCTTAAAAATTAACAAATATTAATGGTTAACCTTCGAGCAGTAGTTACTAAGGGTAAAACAAGTTATCTGATCTTCAGCCCCAGGTATTTTAAAGCGGAATTATCTTCTAAAATAGAAAACAACAGTACATGACAGCAGCTGTAACTTAAGTCAGTCAGTGAGATAAGGTTCATAGGTGCTGGGAAAAGAACTCAGAAGTACAGGTCTTCCACTGGACCGAACTTTAATCTGCATGAAGAGAGACACAGCCGTAATATGTGTAAGGCTCGGCTTGAGTGCCAACATGAAATTCTCCCCTTTCTGTTCAGAGTCTAGAACTTGAGTATACATATAATCTAATTTATTGTTTCAGTTTCCCAGGCCAACTGGGTAAGAATTCCTGATCTGAATGATAGTTCTCTGAATAGGTTTTCTTTTATTAATGTTGGAGATCGATACCTCACATAAATTAATTACCAATACAGTGACTGTCCTCATAGGGAAATTCCTCATTTAACACTCCCTGATTAGGTGTTATAATTTTACACTGAAGTATAATGCAACTAAGAATTTTAAAGGAATACCAACCAACTTCTTTTCTTATGGGGTATTTCAGTAAATTGTTAATAAATTTCAAATACTAACTGAAACTAATTCTACATATTTTATTCAACAAAAAACCTGTAAGACTGACTTAACTGTGTAACTGGCTCTGTGAAGCCTTAGTTGGGTATATGGCAAGTTTGCGATCTAAAGGTAATTAATTCACCTTTTGAAAAACTGATTTACTTGGTGATAAAGATATCCCACAGATGTTTACTACTTAATACTTCATCTGCAAATCTGCTTCTCTGTTACCACACACAGAATCAACTGCTATCTCAAAACACAAGTTTGTCTGAAGGCATACAGAGCCTTAATATTCTGGTACATAAAATTTAGTTCTATAATCCCTACTTGAAACAGTTTGGTTTTTCATGTAAAATTAATCACAGTGTTACTTGTTTGTGCAGGAATACTCCCTAATTATACAACACCTTTTTTTTTTTCAAAGAACATGGCAACATAGATAGCAACTGAATTCTGGAAAATACTTAATCTGATAATTATGTAAGTTCTAAGTGTTCTAAACTTACCCAATTTGAAAAGAATATTTATATTCTATAATAACTTCACCAATATCCTGGATACCCTTATAACTTGCCCTATTCTTGCACAGGAATAAGACATGCAGGTATCTAGACCCAACAGCAGTAACATTGATATTTGGAAGCCTGGCCTGATGGCTGGTCTTCATATTAAATTCTGTATTTCTCTAACTCTTGCTCTTCTCTAAATCTCCTAATCACATTGAACAGTGACTTACCGCATAGAATTCAACATAATTTCCAAAAAAGTTACTTTACAGGTAAGTCCAAACTTTATTTAAAACTACATCTTAAATTTAATGATACCAAACATCACAAGGGGAGGAAAAAAAAAATGACAAAAAAAAGGAAAGAAAGAAGAAAAACAAACAACCCCACAGTGTATCAAGGCTTCAATCTGTCCAGAATTCAGTTTCTGATGTTTTAAACTGCCACGGGCAGAAATCAGCACACCTATCAAGAATGCAGTGTCAAACTAATTTACATTTTTATACAGATCAAAACAGATGTTTATTTAGTGCCATATTCATATATGCATTGACTATGTAAAGCGAGTTACATGAGCCTCTGAAGACATCTCATACGCTTTGGGCTCCCACTGTTTCTGAAAAACAGAATAATTAATGCACTATAAATTACTGAATTAAGATATTACTTACTAGAATTTATTATTGTTCTCTTACATTAAAACTTTCAGCATAAAGTTATAAAGGAAATACTAATTTAGTGTAAAAACAGGTGAGGGTTTCTGTTTGAAGATGGCAGACTGAACAGATACTTCCTATCTTAAAATTCCACCAGAAAAAAAAAACTATGAAACTAACTAAATCCCCACCAAGAAGAGTGGCTAAGGGAGAGCAGGCCCGGAGACAACAAATCCCTGGAATGCTCAAAGCAGATGGAGGTGCAAGGAAGGGGGGCGGGGCTCAGCCTGGACCCACTAGGAGGGGCGCAGGTGAGGTTAGCTGAAGGTTTGATACTTAGTCTGCCCTTCTCTTCACCCATTTCTAGGAAAAACAAAAATTGATGAATTGATAAAGAATAACAAAAAGAAAATCTTTGATTTTGATGCAAGACACATTCTCCTCTGAGTGGCCCAGGGGTTGTGCTATTAGATCCATAAAGAAGGAAATGTGGGATTATCACCTGACTCTGCAATGAGTCATGTTTACACAGAATGGTCTTCAGAAAAAGTAGTTTTAACTATTACAGTTATAAAAATGTGTGTTTGCTTTTATAACTTTAATGTGAGAGGATGAGTAAAACTCAGTTGAGAAAGCAGAAGGAAAAGGGAGTAGCAGCTGAGTAATGACCAAAGTTGATGGAACTAGAAAACATATATATTAAAAATAACAAAGGTAACACAGAGAAAAACCAAAAATAATAGTGAAAGAAGGAGAGAGAGGTCCAAATGCTCACTTTTCATAGGGAAGACAAGAGATGTCTGAATTTTTTAAATTAAGAAAAATTTTAAGAATATCATTTAGAGATACAGAGGGTCTCATCCAAAGGAACTAAAAACCAACAGTTAAAAGAAATGGGCTCCCGCCAGTTTATCATGAATTCTTTTGTACCTTTTCTTCTTAAAATTGTGCTTCTGTTACCTTGCTTTTAAAACTCTCTAGACTTTTTACAGAATTATGCTTCCCTTCCAATATTTGGATTAAATCTTCCAAGTACTAGTAGTGGATTTAAAAAATAAACTGATGGTATCAAGGTTCATTAATTTTTCAATATGATATGGTTGAAAGTGGTAACCCTTACCAGGTTCCTTTAGTGTCTGAGAATTCCCAGCTAATTCTTCAACTTGCATTTCACATAGTATTTCACCAGATAAATGGTTTTTCTGTTCTTCTTCTACCATTTTCTTTCTTAGATCTGCCTTTGAAATGAAAAAAAAAAACTGAAAATCAGTTTTCATCCCAGTAGCATTTGTCATATAAAGACAAGTTTAATTAAAGAGAGCAAAATACCTCTGAATATATTGTCAGTTTAAGAGGTAAATCTTCAACTTTCACAAAGTCTTCTTCATCAGATTTTTGACTTATGTTACCAGATTCCGCTTCCTGTAAGATAAATTATATTTAATGGGGAAGGCAATCCACTCTATCTCTGGATCTAAGCCATCTAAAGTCATCCATGCCAAGGATAAAATGGATAAAATGGATTCTTATATACAAGTATACATCAATAATTCTGTCCTATTTGGTTTTTTTCTGTGTTCAGCTCTATGAATAAAGCAAAGCTGGAGCGCACAGGAAGGGCCATGTACTTGTAGCTGTGGGCCATACTGTTGAGCGTTTCTGTCCCCATTTGAAAAAACAAAGAGCCAGCTTATACAGGTTAAAGGAAGAAACAGTAGTTACACTGAGGGCTAAAAGCATCAGAAGAACAACTCTGGTTTCTTGATAATGTTTACAGAACGCATCAGAGTGTATCCAGCAGAATTTACATACAGGCTTTCAGTATCAACTCCATGGAAGCTGAAAAAGATGAGGTATGACTCTAATAGCTCACTTTTGTGATCACTTCAGTGTCTCTCTAAAACTTGAATTCTTTTATTTTCCTAGTTCTCCTTTCTGATTTTTAATAGTATCATTTTACCAACTACCCAAGTGGAAACCTTAGATTTTTCCTCTTCTTTCAACATTTCTCACCCACCTCTCTCTCATTAAGCTTGTACTTGGTTCCTATGGTAAGGGAGCCTCCTAATGTAGCATCCCTGACAACAGTCATCAGTCATCAGATTCATCTTCAAAAAACCATGACTCTGGCCATTTGACTTTCTTGCGCAAAGAATTTCAGTAGTGTCCCCTGACTAAATTTCAAATTCAAGTCCCTCTATAATCAAGCTTTAAGTTAATTTCACTTGACTGCCTCCTAGAGCAACTCTATGCACTCATTAAATTACAGTAAGAATAAGTCTAACAGGTAACTTTCAGAGTTGTAAATGCTAATTTCACTGTTGGTGAAGCCATCAAAACGGTTAAATTACTCTTTCTAGTAATGGTTTTGAAATATTATAGGCTTCCTTTCTGAGAAATTAGGAACTCATAATTGTAACTCTATCTTTAGGAAGAAAACTAATATTAATTGAAAAAAAAACTCTATTTAGATCTAAAAGTACATTGTTATAAATTCCTCAATTTTTGCCGACAAGAGAAAGTATACAAAACACAGTACAAGATCCATATTATAACCTACATGCTATAAAATTGAAGTGAAACAAAAACGTCCAGAGTAAAACTCAGCTTACCGACCTACATCCTAAATACAGATTTGCTACCATATATTTCCGTCATTTGCGGTAAGGAGTCTACTGCTGTCAAACTGTAAACTTTTAGGTTTATCAAAGATTTATGAAATGTTCTAAAATTGTTGAGATGTCAAGCCTGGGCACTGTAAGAGATTAATGATTCACACATCATCTGTTCGGGTCTGAACTTGAACTCTCTCAAGGTTGCCACCTAAAACTCAAAATCTGGGTCATAAACTTATAAAAAAGTAGAACAGCTTTTAGGTTTTGATATATGATCATCTTAATTCACTATCACCCTTCTGTTCAAGTGTAAACTAAGTAAGAAATTTTTTTTGGCAGTTTCTAAACACAAACACAAACAAACCTAAACACAGTCTGTGTTTACAGACTGAAAATGTTAACCTGAAAAGGAAGAAATCCGCATAGAAATGAAATGTAGATGATACATACATAGTCATTCACTAACACCGGAGATTCAGTATCAGGACTTCCAGCCAGAGAGCTCTCAGGAGTTTCCTGAGCAGATTTAACTTCTTTGACTGTAGGCACCAAGGTTTCAATTTCAGTTAAAGGTAAAGGCAGAGGGTTAGGCTCTTTAGATGAATCAATGGTAGTGAGAGAGTCCTTCTGGACAGCGCTATTTAAAGGTTGCTCGTTTTCCAAAATATTGAGGTAACAGGGTTTCACAGGAGTGCTATCTTGGTCATCTGTCATCAAAAGAAAGTCAACTTTAGTAAAATGCAACAGTTGTTAAATTTCACTATTATACCAAATAGACAGTATGTATGAATGAGTAATCAAGACCTTTAAGACTCAAAAGACAACTACAAATTTTCCTTATCAATGATTCCTAAAACTAGTTGATCAGATTCATCTGGGTATGTTTTAAAAATCAAATTCCTGAAATCTACCCGATTTCTAATGAAGTATGATATTAATGAGTAATACCCAGGAATGGGTATTCGAAAAAAATCCCCCATGTTTGTTATCTAAAGATGTTTTCTTTGAAGATTTTTTCTGTGTGTTTAATTATTTGTCAACTTTTCTTGAGCAGCTGTTTGCAGAAACCAAGCCCTCGTGTTTTCTATAAAGGATTTAGGGGAAGAAGAAAAGACATACATCAGGCCCAAAATACCTTCAAACTTATATTAGCTAAGAATTTAGATTTTTTTTTCTTTAGCTTTTAAGCACTATGGGCACTTTAAATAATCTTAAAATTGAACACTTTAGATTTCTTGCCTTTACTAGTAGTGAGTTCTTGTTCTGATGAGACAGTTTTGCTTTCTCCTGATTTTTCAAAGTCCTGTTGTAGTACCTAGAAGGAAAAAGTGACATCTTAATAGCAGGGCCTAAAATATATGGCCATTATATAGGAGATGGTTAGGTGTGTATGGTGTCTGTCCAACCTGAGACTTTCATACAAGGGAATTTAAAAATATCTTCTGAAAGTGTTTCAAGAAGGAGGCTGTAGTTGAAACTTTAAGATGGCTAAGTACAATGTTTCATTTTCTTCTTAACCTCAAAATAATAGAGAACTAGAGTATTATGGATTCCACTATTTTTTTAAATTTTCTTTTTTTCAAATCAGACTTTTTTTAAGATTTTTTTAATTTATTTTTTAACAGAGAGAGAGACAGCGAGAGAGGGAACACAAGCAAGGAGAGTGGGAGATGGAGAAGCAGGCTTCCCGCCGAGCAGGGAGCCCGATGTGGGACTCGATCCCAGGACCCTGGGATCATGACCCGAGCCGAAGGCAGACACTTAATGACTGAGCCACCCAGGCGCCCAAATCAGACTCTATCTTGAAAGAAACTGAAAGATACCCTTTTATATGTAGATGTTAAGTGAATGGAAGAAGAACTGACGGGGGGGGGGAGATAAAGCCAAGTGCCTTCAGCAGGAGAGAACAAAAATCAAATTCACCTCATGCTTGGAAGAGGAATACAGTGGTGGATGAAAAGAGGGTGGTGCTGGTGGTTCTCTGAAGCTGTTAAAAGAAAATGCAAACATCAAGGTTCCCTCCCCCAACTTTAACAGAAAATGGGAGATTTTGGATAAACCGCACTAGTGAGCCTCAGACCCGGGGGCTGCCAGGGGTAAGGGTGGGGTCCAGAAAGCACAGATGAGGACAGGATAAAATGTCATGCTGAAAACAGAAGGATTCAGCACAAGTCTGTATAGTGATGGGACCCTCAGCACCACTGCCACATCTAGCTCCTGAACACAGGCAGCCAAAGAGGTATGAATACCTCAGCCCGGGCAAGAGGAGAATGGAAGACCCTTCTTTGGAGAAACAAACCGCCCCAGAGAAAAGACCAATCAGTATTAACATTTAGGATTTTCTGTCAAAAAGCTATCTACCCAAGCACCCTAACAGTGAAACCCAGAACAACCCCAACCAGCTTTCTGGTGTATCATTTTTTAGTATAAACACTGAAGGTACCACAGACATTTGAAGAAAGCCTCCAGGTGGGTAAGAGAAGGTAGTGCTTCTTTGAACTAACAGCATGCTATAAAAAAGTAATCAGAAAATAAAAGTATTTAGAAATTAAAAATGTGACATTCATGTAAGTTATTAGTCAAAGAAATCTCCCAGAAAGTAAAACAAAAAGAGCAAGGGGACGATAAAAGGAAGAGAGAAGAAAATCAGAAAATCAACCCATGAGGGCTAATAATGTCTGATAATATTAATTCCAAGAGGAATGAAAGGATAAAATGGTGGGGAAGCAATACAAAAAAAGAAAATTTACCAAAATAAAGGACATGGTTATTGACTGCTTACAGACCCACTGAGTACTGAGTATAGTGAATGAAAAAAGACACACAACAATGTCTATCACTGTAAAACCTCACAACTCCAGAGGGGAGAGCTCTAGTTGGGCAAAAAAAAGAATACAAAGAATCAGAACTGAAAAAGGCATCAGCCTTCTCAGCAGAGGCACTGAAATGATGTTTCAACATGGAAGAATTTAAGATTTTCTTAGACCTATAAAGTCTCAAAATACTTATCTTTCATGCACTCTTTCTCAGAGAGGTACTGGAAATGTGCTCTACCAAAATGAGGGAAAAGGAGGACAAGACTGGATTCCAGAAACAGATAGAATAAAGAATGACAAAGGGGATTCCCAGGCTGCTAGCTAGTGAGCAGGTCTAATGAAGAGCAAAGCCAGGATGGAGCAGGAAGGACCAACTGACAAACTGGTACATGCAGAAAAGTCCCCTGAGTTTACACAGCTGTTGCTGGGCAGAACAAAGACTTGGGTATGTGGTCAAAGAAAATCAGGCAAGTAAAAAATGGAGACAATTATTAATTTCGAGTGAAAAAAAATGTATGAGACTAAGCAATAAACAGTATTTGCTTAGTTCAACAGTCGGTAATATTTATGTAGTTTGTTTAGATCTATGGTCAAATGTAAGTAGAAGCAAAAGATACAACTGAATGAGGAGGACAGGATTAATATAAGTAAATGAGGAGTTTAATTAAGTGACCTAAAAGTCTTCACCTACTATAATAGGAAGTCAACAGAGAATGTCATACTATTCAGAAATACAGTTACATAACCGAAGAAATCATACAAAGTGCTACCTATGGGACAAGATGAGGTGGAGGTAGGAAAGGGAATGATTTTTGTTATATCCTGTTTCCATGTATGACTAGGAAATACATAAAGATACATGAAAAATCCAGATCTTCTAGGTAAGTTGATCCCCCACCCCCCAAAAAAAGATTAAAGTGCTTTATATATAAGCATTGCTAAATCTAAAAATAAACTAGTGTTTGACTGAGATTTCAGTAAGGATATTAAAAAGACTTGTTTATTCATGAAAATGAGAATAGGGAAGCCGTAAATTCTGACATCCTTAAGAAGGATCTGCCTTCAGGAGTTAGAAGACGAGGGAATGTGTGTTAGTGCGGACCGGAATACCTGATCATCGTGTTCAGTCTCTTCTATAGCTTCGGTGTTAGCCTGAAGTGAAGTCTGGACGTCCACAGGTCCCTCTTCAAATTCTTCTATTTCTTCATCGTCATTCTCATCTTCTCCACTTCCATAATTAGTCAAAGCCTGAGTTTCAGCTTTGGACAAGTCTAAGTTGATTAATACACAGTTTTTAGTAAATTTTCAGCACTAAATCTTAAGAGCAGCCACCATGTACTGCATTCCTGCACTGCCCAAGTCCTTTACATACAGTATCTGAAAGCTTCCCAACAGCAGGCAGCAGAACACTGCGGTGCAGAAAGGACAGGGCATCTGGTCAGGGCCACACCAGATCGCTCAGAGTTGGTGGACACCTAACTCTACCTTCATTACAATCCACCCAAATGTTGGGATAAGTGACCTATAAAGAGCCAACATATAAACCCGGTACGGAGCCTTTACACTTACTAATAGACACCGGACATTCTTCACTTTCTTCATCTTCCTCTTGGTCAGAAACATCCGATCTCACATTTTTGGGACCGTCATCGACATACATCCCAGATGTCTGAGTCTGCTTAACTGTTTCAGTTTCATCCTTGTCCTAGCCACAAATACATGTAATGAATTCCTTAAAATACATTTTAAAAGGTATATATAGTAAGCCCATCACAAAAATAGTCATGATCTAATAAAAAATACAAAACGTTGTTATTTTTAAGAGAAAATAAAATTTTGGCAGAAGAAAGGCCATTTGATGATAAAGCTTTCTCTCAAACATTAAGGTAAAAGCTATTAAAGTTATTTAATCTTTTGTCTCAAAAGCATTGTTTTTAGGCACAAATTAATTAGCCACTTACTTTGTCTTCATCATCAATTTCTCCAACAGGTGAGCCATGATCTCCTTCAAGAATCCTTTTGGCCTAAAAGCAAATTAAACAGAATTTAGGGGTGACCTTTCAGCATTATACTTAGATATTCAGTAACTTTAACAAATGCTGCAGTTTTTGACCACAGTCCCAAGAGTTGAACGCTTTTTTAGAAATGTAAATTCAACTCTTTCACTGAAATCTTTTAAATTAGCCAAACAAAAATCAACACTGCTTACCAGACATCTCCCTGAATAATGAGCATCTCAAATTCATTAATTCCAGAACAAAAACCTTGACTCCCTCCCCAAACCCCAGCCTCCTTCAGTCTTCCCAATCTCAGTAAACAGCCCTTCATGTATCCCATGTACAAGTCAGACACCAAGAAGCAGCCTGGGTTCTATCCACATCTAACCCATAGGAATGCCTCATTGACGCTATCGTCAACATGGATCTGCGGGTGCACACTCGGAGCTAAGTCACATCATCTACCTGCACTAGGGCCAAGTCTTCAGACTTGTCTCTGTTTCTGTCTCTTCTCTCCTATAATTCTTATACAACATGGTATCTAGACCAAACTTTTTACTGCACATGAGATTATGTCCCTCCTCTATTTCAAAATTTCCCATGGCTTTCCATCATGTTTAGAATAAAATCAAATAGAAGGTCCTTACCGCTGTTGCTTAAGGCCCCATAGTTTGGCCTTACCTACCCAGGTGACCTCATCTCCTACACTCTCACCTCTGGTGAGGTGTTCCTGCTACCCTGGCCTTCTATACGTTCTCCAAACTGCTCAATCCTGTCTCCGAGTCTTTAAACTTATAGTTCTCTCTGCCTGGAATGTTCTTCCTTTTCATCTTCATTATAAACTCCTTTCTTGCCTTAGTTCATACTTCACCCACTCAAACAGCCTCACGAGACTGCCTATCTTAAAGTAGTCTTTCCAATAATTTATTATGGTTTTATCCTGTTTTATTTTCTTCAAGCTCTTGGCAATGACTGAAATGATCTGAAACCTATCTATGTCTAGAGTGAAAATATTAAGAAAAGTGTGAAATGGATGGCTTGACTTTTTCTACTTTAGATTTCAGGGAGAAGGGTTACCTCTTTCTGTTTTGGGTCTTGACGTGCCTTCCTTCTCATGATTAGACAATCAAGAGGAGGGAAAGGTCTAAGGGAGAAACCTCCTGGTATGCCTCAAGTTGAGGGGAAGAATCCCACCCAAGTTCATATGTGATCAAACTAATTTAACAAGGTATAAGAAGCTACTGAGATGTGCAACCAAAGTCTTAACTTGTAAACAAGCATGTGTGTTGGTTGGGGTGATAAATACACCTGGTAGATCTGAGCTCTGTCAGGGCTGAAATAGCTACTGCAGACAGCTGGTCAGGACAGGACCCCAGTCCTCCTCTCTTCTCTGGAGACATGAGTGACAACAATGTAAGACAGCTGATAATTCCTGTCACCAATTCCTATCTGCATTCCTGATCTTTTAGCCACTGCTGTCACATCTGAGATTCGTATGTGGCTAGCATATGTACTGATTTAGGTAATCTGATTAACTGCTATTACTTAGAAAATATGTTAGCTGAGGTCAAGTATGGTTTTCGTTAATAATGATCAAGCAATATATTTTAATGCTAATTATAACTACTCCTAAATTCAAAGTGAATGTCATTTACCTCTTTGGCATAAGACTGTATCACTCCAGCTGCTTCTATTTTCCTTTTGCACTTCTGTTTAACAGTTATACTATTGTTATCCAAATCCTGCATGAGCTTAAAGAAAGCCAATTCATTAAACAACACTTCAGATATCTCTACGAGAAGATCTTCTCCACAGTCTTTCAGTTTTCTGCCAGCAAATTTTGCCAGTGAATCCTATTCAAAGATAAACCATGTAATTTTAAGATTATAGTAAACTTCAATTGTGGGTAGAGCAATACAGAGGATTAACAAGTTTAAATTACAATACTCACCTAGGGAAAAACAATTTTATTACTTTTTAGTATGCAAAAAGCTAAAACTAATGGCTAAGATTACTACACAAAGAGTAATATTTGTTTTTAAAGATTTTATTTATTTATTTGAGGGAGAGAGATTGAGAGTGAGAGGGCATGAGCAGGAAGAGGGAGAAGCAGGCTCCCAAGGAGCAGGGAGCCCGAGGCGGGACTTGAACCCAGGACCCTAGGATCATGACCTGAGCCAAAGGCAAATGCTTAACCAACTGAGCCACCCTGGCATCCCATTCTTTTTTTTTAAAGATTTTGAAAGAGAGAGAGAGAGAGAGAGAATGCATGAGCAGGGGGAGGGGCAGGAGGAGAGGGAGAGAATCTCAAGCAGACTCCCCACTGAGCACAGAGCCCTACATGAGGCTTGATCTCAGGACCCTGAGACCATGACCTGAGTGGAAACCAAGAGGTGGGACGTTTAACTGACTGAGCCACCCAGGTGCCCAAGACAGTAATATTCTTTAGTGATATTAACGTAAGTAGGAATCATGCCAGTCTCCTCTGAAGAGTATACAAAAGGAAAAGAACAGGGCATGTGATCATCCACAGATTTAGTCCCTAATTAATAGAACTGGCGGCCACAAATGAGTAAACCAGGGGATACATATTTACCACAGTGAGAAGCTGAGGTGCCCAGGAGGAAAATACTAAGTCCTCCCTTTCTCAATGTTAACATCAGAGTACTTTTCAAGTTCCCTCATTTTATATAAGCCAAGCAGTCATTCTAATTTAAACTTTTTCTTCAGAATCAATTTAAAAGCAAACGTTAGTCCTATTCAAGTTGAAATACACCATCATCAAATAAGTAAGTCAGCTATATTCTAGACATTTTTTATAAAACTGCATTTCTTTTTCTTCCTAAAAATATGGACATGCATTCTGAAAACCAGCAAACAACTATGTTGTCTCCTCCCTCCAAAAAACCACCTCATCTATAGCATAATTGTGCAAGAAGTGCAAATGTGGCTGCCTCATAAAAAAAAAAAAAAAATTCACTGAATAGGTTTCTTAGAGAAAAAAGTAGAAGATAGTATTTTAAAGCTCTACCTCATGAAAAATTTTCAGTAGTCTGGGCAAGATTTACTGTAAACTAATCTTTATTTTTCTCTAGGTCCCTTTGCGGAAAAAAAAAAATCAGGAATGGGATATAAGAAAAGCAGCCAAATTTTCTCAGAAAAAAATCTTATTTTCAAACTAATACTTTGGCATCTGTCTCAATTATGTAACAGTAGCCAAAACTGAGGGAGGATTGCACAGGTCTTGATAAACAAAAATATTTAATTATAAAGGATTTCTCTTTGAGCCTGATTCTAGAATGGAGTTATTTCTTTCTGTAGGAATAAACTACTTAAATCTATAAAAACATATTTGTCTAAAAATTATCCTAAACATCTTTAAACTGCAGAACAAGAGAGATGTCTTACAGTCCTTATAGATTATGTGTTAGTTACAATTAGATTAAATAGAGCCAGCATGACTTAAAACCTATTATTGAATTTTACTTTACCTTAATAAAAACAAAATGGAAAATTATAGTGATGGAAATTTGCATCAAGCCTCGGGTTTTAAAAGCTATTAATAGACAAAATGATAATACTTTCTCTAAAACCAATTTAAACACAGGAATAGGAAGTAAGGAACAGTTTTATGGGAAATTTTTGTGCTAAAGATGAAAGGAAAAACATATTTCCTAGTTTGGAGTAATAATACACATCACTGAACTATCTCAATGGGAAAACATACCAGTGTACTGAACTGTAAAGATGTTTATTATATGAAGTAAGGTATCCTTACTTAACAAAGGGATCCACACCTCAGCACTATTAACATGCCACAGGATGTTAGTACCAGCCACTTTCTGCCTGTGTGACAAATATCTGTGGGCATTGCAAAATTGCCCCCATGAGAATCATGACCTTAACATTAATTTAAAGTTACTATTACAGCCTAAGAAGTCTCTACAATCAACAGATGGTTTCTGGTTTCTAAAATTTCCCACACTGGAAAAAAATTATTTTAGAAAATATCACAGAATACTTCCTAAACAACAACCTTGAAATGTTCTTACTGGGTAGGAGAAAAATCAAGACAAAATTTTATTATAGTTTGGCTAGGCCTTAGAGATGATCGAGTCAAAGGAAGACATAGGCCCTAATACAATTTTTTTTTTTAAAGATTTTATTTATTTGGGAGAGAGAGCAGGGGGAGAGTGAAAGGGAGAAGCAGGCTCCTCACTGAGCAGGGAGCCCAATGCTGGGCTCGATCCCAGGACCCTGAGATCATGACCTGAGCTGAAGGCAGACGCTTAACGACTGAGCCACCCAGGCGCCCCATAATACAGTATTTTTTTAAACCAGATAAAGGAATAACCTAAAAAGGTACTGAAATGTCATCCCCAATGGATACCAGAATGGACATTTATTTGAATAAATTGCATATTGCCAGGAAATGGCAAAAAAAAAAAAAAAACCCCAACTAGAGGGTGTATGTTGGTAAGTCATACAAGTATAAACTCTTACCTGTAATATACTTCCCAATTGTTTATGAAAGAACTTTACAAATTCTTTGCTCTCATCATTTTGCTGGGTGAGAGTCAAAACCATACGTCTTACTGAAGTTAGAAGTTGAGAAGAGCATACTTCATCCATGTGCTCCTGAGAAAAACCCTAGTTGGTTAGGATGTAAACTTACGTTTACAAATACGTTTAAAAAAATATTAGTTCACATAAGACTGTTTTTTCTTGCATAGATACTTCTCAACTTTCAGATACACATTTAGAAATATCTCTTCATAACAGCCAAACTCCTGCACTACACATGTTAAGGGGTTTGTACCTTTTGACCCACCACAGCAGGTAACAGCCGGTAAAAAGAAACGAGCTGATTCAATACTTTTCATTACTTCCTTCCTGCATCTTAAGGAGAACTACTCATGCCCTAGTCACCATAGTGCCTGTCTCCCCATTTGCAGTTCATTTCAACCACACTCTCACAACTCACCTCGTGCATCTTCAACCTCCGCTTTCTCAGCCCCGTTCAGCATTATGGACATTCTGTGCAGTGCGGGAGGTTCAGCAGCACACTCGCCTCCACCCACTAGATGCCAAAAGCACCCTCCACTCTCCCAAGTCCTGAGAGCTAAAACTGTATGTAGACACTACAAAATGCTTTTAGGGTCAAAATTACCCCCAACTGAGAACCACTGTCCTAACGTTCCGAACAAGCCCTTTTGGGCATCTCCTCTTCTTCATCTTCCTTTAGAAGCACGTGCAAACTACCTAATAATCCAAATCATGGTTCACTTTTGGAGGTGAGTCCATAAAACACCCACATCAAGTACCTCAAGGTTCTCATCCCTCTTCTGCCACTAAACTCATCTGGGCAGGTCTTCTAACCTTTACTCAGAAATCTATAAAGTGAGGTGACTAAACTAAACTAGATGATTTCTAAGGTTCCTTAAATTGAAGGAATTAAGTTCTTTTTTAAAAAAAATCATGTGACAGAGCAGGCAGTTAAAAAAAAAAAAACAGAGAAAAAAAGTCAGATACATGGACAATCAATCACTCCATGCTATGCACTGTCCAATAGATGATACTTTTTAATTCCAGGGGCCGTTTCTTATTTATCACCTAGCACAGTGGCCAGCTCACGGGAGACACTCATTACTTGCTGAATATACTGATATCTTAAAAGCAGCACACACTAGGTTCTGCAAGGAGTTATGGTAGCATATTAGAAACAACAATTATCTCTTAAGAAAGGATATTTCTGCCAAGCAGAAAAGAGTGAAGGAATTTTATATTTTCAATAATGACAACTTGTACAAAGGGCTGATACATGAAGATGCAATGGCAGGAACAGGAAATGTTGAGTAACTTGAAGTGAGTGAGTGAGGGGACCAGATGGAGACTGGGGAGAGAGACAGCTGGGGAAGTATACCAGGTCCAGTAGTGAAATCTCTTGAAGGCTAGGGAGTCTGCTTAGTAAACATTCATTTCATGCCTACCATGACAAGCTGTCTAGGCAAAACGAGGATCTGAATTAAGGTTATGCTATTGGAGAGAGGAAGGAAAAGTGACTGCTCTTAAGGGGAAAATCAATTTTTGACTCACTGGTGATAGAGGGTATGAGAGTCAAGAAGTCTAGCTTAGGTGACTGGATATAATGCTGACATTAACAAAGAAGTTCTATGATCCTACCAAGAAAGTCAAGATTTGAAGTGAAATGAGACATAACAAAATAGTTAAAATCAGATCATTAGTTCTACTCATTTTTTTGGCCTCAAAACCTTTTTGAAACGCTAAATTTAGTTAAGTGAATATTTATGAGGGGGTATCAATTAAATCAGACACAAAATGGAAAAACAATAAAATTTCCTAACTGTAGATGACTGCATTCCCTAAGCATAAACCTAAATCATTTAGATTTTTTTAAACCTTAGAAAGTAACTGTACATATTAAATAAATATTGCTAGCCGTATATGTATTTTTACCAAAAAAGACATGCTTAAACGTATTTATTGGATCACTCATAAGACAAAAATGTAAAACAAAAAAGGCAACACTTATCTATGCCTAAGATGAAAGCAAGTAACCACTTACGTAGTTTAAGTCAACTCACTTGAAGGAATGGTTTCAAACTCTCAAATATATCTACCCATCTATCTACATGAACAAATGCACATTCTTACAACTTACAGGGAGTACATATTTTACAAATAACGGGAGATAAATTTACAGAATAACTGATGAAACTGATGTGTTTTTAGCTTTCTTTTGTTTACCTGTTATTTTCTGCATTTACTACAGCGAAGTCTTTTGTAAGAATTAAAGAACAAAACACAAAGTATTTATTTAAAAAAAAATTACTGCTTACCTTCAAAAAAGGAATGACTTCTTTCATAATGGCTTTAATTTGCCGGTCCAGCTGCTGAGTATCAATTCTAGGACATGGGACAGTAGAAACTTCGCTTACAGGTTGTTGTGAACAATGATTTTCAATAGGAGTTTCTATTTTTAAAAAGAAAATGATTTGTTAGCAAAATAAAGCCTGTGACATTATACATACACATTTATTCAGAATTCTAAATATTAAAATCTGATGATTTTACGCTAATACAAAGGAGCATTTATGTAGTTTTAGCACCCTTAATGACTAAAAGAAAGTGGCAATTAAATTATTATATATCAGGTGGGGCTATACATTTTCTTTACACATGGAACTATAGTTTCTGTACTTTCAGTCAGCGGAAGAACACACCTTCTGAGTTAGTAACTGTACTCGTGGCGGCAGCACCAACCCCATCCTCAAGAATCCTGCAGGTGCATCTTCTATTTGTGCTACTTTCAGCCTCAGTCTTCATACGCTCGTATTCCCTCATTCTGGCTAATGCCTGATCTAAGTGAATCACAGTGTTACCTACATATGAAACAGAAACATTGAGAAAATATAAAAGCAAACTTTATCATGTATTCCTCACAATAAAAAAAAAAAAAAAAGTCTAACTGTAGGTAAGGAAAAGTAGCTTTAACAAGTTCCAGACACTATACTAGTTTGGTGACTTGGCATACATTACTCTCTTAGACTCTGAGGTCCATATTGAGTTTACTAGTCATCATATTGCTTCACGTAAAAATAAATCCCAAGATGTCACCCAAATTCTAAGGAAAAAGATCCAACTGAATATAAGCAAGTAAGGTTAGGAAAAGGCCTAAGAAAGAAATTTCCCCGTTTTCCTTTGTCCACTTCAGACAAAGCTAGTGAAGGATTTTGAGGAAAAAAATCAGTAAATGAAACAAAAGAGACAGGACTCAAAGCCATTTGGTAACTCAGAGAGGGGGAATAAACTCAAGGGGAAAGGGAGATTTTTCTCCAAAATGACAGGTATTTACTCAGAAGGGAGCTAGGCTTAGAGTCCATGAAAGTCAGGATAAGACAAAAGGAAGACTTACTGCTTTGGTAAAAGGTGTGTATCTAGTAACAGGGCAAGGCTTGGCCCTTTTTCTTGTAGGAGGCCTTTGGAATTATCTAAACCTTGTTCTCATCATATGAACAAACACTAGAATAATTGGGCTTAGATCCTTTTATCAACTAAGTGCCCTGGAGGTCTGAATGCTTGAATCTCAGTTATCTCTTGATAGGCTACAGCCAGGAAAATGAATTGGGTACCTATACATTTTTCTTTTCCCTACTCTCCTTTCCAAGTCTGGGACTCTGGGTTTTCTTCCCTTTGAGTTATACAACCCTCCAAGCTTCTGTTTTACTAATGATGAAAAATAAAAAGCACAATGCGTCATGCACATTCAGTTACCTGGGTTTCTCACTAAAGATTATCTATGCTAAGAAATTTCAGTTATTGTAAATTATGAAGTGAATACTGTTACTGAAAATGTGATTGGATGAGGCCCTGATACCTCTGAATTCTTCCCATTAAGTAACTAGAAAACCTTAAAACCTTTCCCTTACAGGAAGGAAATTAACATTTCTTCAGCTCCTATTATAAATACTAGAAAATTCTATATATTTTTCAAAGAACACAGAGCAAGACAGGTAGGACTCCCATTTCCTTAGAACATGTAATCAGAATGATGAGATGATTTGCCAAAGGCTGAAGAGTTAACAGGAGATTCCTGACTTTACACTGAGAGACTTTGAAGTCCAAAGTCTTTCCACATCTTGCCTTTTTTGGACTTTTGTTTCTTAATCAATGTAATTCAAAGACTCTATTAAAGTCATGTTCTAAGATTATAAAAAATTCTGCTTACCTAGATCATCTGTTGCAAAAGGCTCAAAATTTGAAGATACAGACATGACACTAGCATTATCAGCATCATTTTGCTCACTTATTTTAAGTGTTTCTCTCTCAAAGTTCTTCTCAAAAGTTTCCTAAGTTATAGTTTAAAAAAACAAATAAAAATCACTAATATTTCTTTTAAAAATTTTATGATGAATATTAAAAATTTAACATAGAAACTAAGTATTTGCATAAAACTACATACTTAAAATTGGGATATAACCAAAGTTATTAAAGGTTGAACAGTCACAGAGAACATTAAAATATTAAATAATCTTGCAGAACATATGGCATTAAGTAGATGAAAATACACAGAGCCAGCTACTACTTAAATTTTAACTTGGAAAAGTAAACATTTTAAATTATTTCTACACCCTCAGGGAAATCTTCCCATCTCCAAAGCCTAACAATTACTAGGACCTTACTATATCTGGTTTTATCAGAAGAAAAACATGACAGCATCATTCGTATTTTTTTAATGAACTTTATTGAAATAGAATTTACATACAACAGTGCACCCATTAAGTGTACAGAGTTTGATGTTCTAAAAAAAAATATATATATATATATACACCCATGTAACCACTTTCCCTAAAGATAAAGACCATTTCCATCAGCCCAGAAAATTCCTTTGTATCCCTCTGTAGTCAGTCTCCACTACACCCCGCTTGTAAGATTTCTATCACCACAAATCAGCTTTTCTGGCTCTAGAACTTGATATATAAATGGAACCATTCAGAATATACTCTTCGGTGTCTGGTTTCTTTTCTTTTGCTTAATAGGCTTCTGACATTAATCCATGTTGTCATGTGTCTCAGAAGTTCATTATTTCTGAATGGCTGAATAGTATTCCATTGTAAGGATATACCATATTTTGTTTATCCATTTATCTGTTGATGTTCCAGTTTGAGGCTATCATGACTAAAGATGCTATGAACATTAGAATACAAGTGTTTTTGTGGACATATGTTTTCATTTCTCTTGGATGAATACCTAGAAGAAAAATCCCTTGGTCACATGCCAAGTTTAGGTTTAACTTCTTTTAAGAAACGGCCAAACTGCTTTCCAAAGTGGTTGTACAATTTTATAATCCCATAAGCAGTGTGAAAGTTCTAATTGCTCTACATTCACACCAACATTTCTTATTGTCAATCTTTTTAATTTCAGCCTTTCTAGTGCATGTGAGGAAATTTCTCATGTGGTTTTAATTTGCACATTGGCCACCATTTATATATCTTCTTTCATGTAGTGCCTGTTCAGTCTCTTGCCCCTATCTTACGGAGTTGTTGGTCTTATAAGCAAATTGTCAAAGTTCTTTATGTAGTCTGGTTTTGTCATTTATATAGTCATTATCAGATATGTGTACTAAGATTATGTTCTCGTAATGCTGTCTTTTGAAAAGCAGAAGGATTTTATTTTTAATCAAGTCTAATTTATCAGTTTTTTTCTTTTATAGTTAAAGCTTTGTGTACCCTAAGAAATTTTTGCTTATGTTAAATCAAGAAGATTTTCTTTTAGAAGTTTTGTAGTTTTAGCCTTTCCAGGTCTTTAATTTCAAAATAATTTTTGTGTATAGTGTGATTAAGGGGAATCTCACATTCTAAAACTCATTTCACAATTGTGTTCTTTCTCCTAGCTACTAATCTTTTAAATTTTTCTCTTCAATTATGAAATGAAAGCTCTGTCTCTGATTAAAGGAAATTCAGGCATTACAGAACACATTTTAGGAAATGGAACCATTCTGTTACTCCTTCAATTAAAACTGGAAGGTAGATGTGCCTTTGCCATTTTACGGCACATGGAATAGAAGATACAAAGTGTTTCTTCCTCTTCTTAAATTTCAATTCTTCATCCCCCCTTTGACTTATAATTCCCGGATGCCTACTTTTACTTCTCTCTTTCCTGGCCATGAAAGCTCTTACACACTCTGAAATGTGCCTATGCAAGCTCCATAAATGGAGCTCAAATGACCTTGGCCTGGGGCGCCTGGGTGGCTCAGGCGGTTAAGTGCCTGCCTTCAACTCAGGTCATGATCCCAGAGCCCTGGGATCGAGCCCTGCATCGGGCTCCCTGCTCGGTAGGGAGTCTGCTTCTCCTCCTCCCTCTCCCTCTGTGATCTCTCTTGCTCTCTCTCAAATAAATAAATAAAATCTTAAAAAAAAAAAAAAAGACCTTGGCCTAGAAACACGGAGAATGAGAGTCTGTATCCGTCCAATATGGAAACCACTAGCCTGTGGTTATTTATATTAAAACTTAAAATTTAGTTCCTCGGTCCCATTAGCCACATTACAAGTGCTTGATAGCCCCATGTGGCTAATGGCTACCGTTATTAGACAATGCACATATAAAACATTTCCATCACTCTAGCAAGTTCTACTGGACAGCACTGCTCTAGATGTGTGGGTGGGAACACTGGATGTTGTGCTGCTGATGATTAAATAGCGTTAATAAAGGGAGGATGTTAACATTAATGACGAATTTAAGTTTTGGATGAAAAATTAAAGAACTGATTTAGTTATTTAAAAATAATACTAAGTAGAGTTATTTGTGCCAAGTCTATATGGTTACAGATTGAGTCTCTGTGTTCCCCCCCACCACCACCAAATTCATGTTTGAAGCCTTAACTCCTAGTGTATTAGGAGGTGGGGCCTCTGGGAGGTAATCAAGGTTTTAGATGAGGTAATGAGGGTGGAGCCCCCTTGGTGGCATTACTGCCCTTTTAAAAAAAGAGACACCAGAGCCATGTGAGGACACAGAGAGAAGATGGCCATCCGCAAGCCAGGAAGAGGGCCTTAACCAAATACCAAATCTGCTGGAACCATGACCTTGGACTTCCCCACCTCCAGAACTGTGAGAAATAAATGGCTGTTGTTTAAGCCACCCAGTCTACAGTATTTTGTTGTACCAACCCCAACTAAGACACGTCCTTATTAAGCAGGTCAGTATCTTTAAATTTTATTTAAGTCTGCAGCAGTTATAAGGAAAAACCTTTAAAATCCTGTCAGGTTAACTTTATCATATATTGTAGCTCAATTTCCAATTTTCAATTTGCTATTGATGGTAAAGGCCAAGGTGCTCAAATATTTTAAATTAACAAAGTAATACCATCTACATGAAATCTGGATAAACAGGGAGGCAATGGAGTTACGGGAGGCAGAGAAACCATTTAGGCTCTCAGCAAGTTATTTCAGGGCCTAATAAACTTTAATGTAACCGCATATCACCTATTTATCTATACAGCTGGACCACTGTCTTCATTTTCCACAAAAATTGTATGCAATTTTCAATTAATTATAGAAACAATTACTTAATTTACATTTGACACTGTAAAGTGAATTAAAACCGTTATCGTTTTTACTTTGTGTTCAGAGTGGTAGAAGAGTTGGAGCCTAAGGTTTTAAGCAGAAAAGATGACTTGGGGAAGCACTGTTTTAAACATGAGCATAAGTTAAAGAACAAGAATTCAGGAAAAGTCCTCAACAGTTATAAGGAAATTACTACATGTGGAAAAAAAAAAAAAAAAAAAGGAATCTTTGGAGGAAAAACTATCTTTTTAAAAAAACTTATAATGCTAGTATATTAGCAATGGCCAGAAACACAGTAATACTGCTTCCAACTCTCTACACAGAGCAGATATTTGCTTATCAATTACAGCACTCTTATCCATGAAAATCCACGTACTAGAGTTGGCATAGAAATGTATTTGCTATCCGAGAACCCCATCATATCTTTTATAATAGAATCAGGGTCTGAACCTTTAAGTAGTGAATTCCAAATACCTAGGCACATTACCTCCTATCCTAGCAGTCTGCCATCCAGTCATTCACTGCCGTACGCACTACATGGGGGCTAGCTGGAGAACACAGATTACTGAGAATGCACCATTTTCCTCACCACTCTTTTCCATTCCCCAAGTTTCTTTATTCAAAATTTTCTTCATAAACTTGAATACATTAAAAATTACAATTTTTTTCCTGGATGATTTTTTTTTTGTCCAGGCTTCTCTTCTAACCCAAAGACCTGATTTATCTTGTATTTATTTATTTTAGGGCTCTGTGATCTGACTGCAGTCTGATTTACTGAATGTCTTGAATAAACACAACAAATTTTACTAAATGTCTGCTGTGAGTCAATTCCTATGATGGGCACCAGAAATATAAATACAGCTATTTCACACCTTATAATCTATCATTTATACATAATTTCTGGTATTTGCTGACATATTTTAATTGAGTTTTATACCTCACCTCAAAATAACGTGTTACACTTTTTAAGAAAGCTAAAAACCAAGTATCAGGTATATTCACAATGTATAACTACTTATTTAACTTCTGTTTCCTGCATAGTGAAATTCTATCTACGTTCGTCAATCATGATCAGCTTACATCATCAGTGGTAGCAAGGCTTTCACTGGGGGTAAGTTCTGAGTTTGATGCTATCCAAGTACCAGAATTCACTGACTTTACATTTTCTCCTTCTTTTTCATGGTTCTCGGAAATATGTCTGGATACTATGTCCTAAATAAGGAAATAAGATAGTTACTTATGTAAAACATTTATTTTTATCACCAATTTAAACACACAAGCAGACAAAAGAGCAAATGAATGCTCCTCACCTCATAGGTTAATTATGAGGAAGAAATAACATTAAAGATAAAACACTAAAAAACTGCTCAAAGAGAGACTTTATCTAAAGGTTACTGAAGCTATACAAGGAAGTTTTAAATAAAATGGCAAGAAAGCACATGAAAAACAGATCGTAATACATATGGAACAGGATGTACTGCAGTCTAAGAAAGCAACCAGATACAATCATGAAGAAAACTGGTACCAGACAGGGTAGGGAAAAGAATGTTAGGTACCAGATACCTGCAATGCATATAAAGCCCTTTGTCTCAAGTAGTCTGTATTAAGTAGCTGAAGTTCATGGAAGAGTTCAATAAGAAAATGTGGACGAGATTCGTTTTGAGAAATTAATGTAGCTACTTCAGAATAAATAGTATCCCGCAAAGCTTCGAACATGGAAAAATCACTCCCAGTTTCTGGAAGATATAAAAGATCAGGAAGTTAACAATGATAAAATACATTCCTGACAATTTCTATTACCTTGAATCATTACTCAGGTTTAAATAACTTAAATATCAGAACAGACTTAATTCTATTTTAGGACTTTTAAAGTAGAAAAAGAATCTTAAAAATTACCAAGATAAAAATAATCTCAAAAAATATCAAGATATATACTATATACTAGAGAAATACTTAAATGTATGGATAATATTACCTAGCGTTACTCAGACCATACTTATTTCTCAAAAAAATTATCTGGAAAATTTTACACATTTCATAGGAATAATCAGTAGAAATCTTTCAGCACTTGAATGAAATAAACTAACTGCAAATAATTTTTTTTTTTTGCTAATATGAACTTTGTTACAGAAAAGGAAATTCATTTAATGTTTAGAATAAACTGAATGCTGGCAATAAAAGCTACTATTTTAAGGTCTATCTAGTCAGGTCTACTAATTCTCAAATCTCAGCTATCATGCTGTATTGATGGAAAATTGAACTTTTGAATATAACACAATATAGGTCAATTTTGCTACTGTCTTACTGCCACACTCAGTGTAAGTTGGACCAGGCATGACCTGATGCACGTTTTCAGTTTCATAGAATCTAGGCATCACTCAACAATTCTGCTAAATATAATTGTTGGTAACACAGAATTATCACTCTTAAAGGTATACAGTCATACCTTTATTTTTAAGAGTGCGAATTAGAAACTGTTCCCATTTTGAGTGCTCTATTTAAAAAAAAAATCTCTGGGGCACCTGGGTGGCTCAATCAGTTAAGCACCCGACTCCTGATTTAGGCTCAGGTCATGATCTCGGGATCATGAGACTGAGCTCCACATAAGGCTCCACACTCAGTGTGGAGTCTGTTTGAATTTCTCTCCCTCAGCCCCTACCCCCAACTCCCACCCCTGCTCTTGCACATGTGTGCACACTCTCCCTAAAATAAATAAAATCTTAAAAAAAAATCTCTAAGTAGTTCTTCTGGCTATCAAACTCTGTACCCTTTCTAGAGCAATAGTAGAACCATGGGTAAATATTCAGGTTCCACACATATCTGTGACAAGTTTCTAAAAAAGAGAAATTAAAATGTTGAATGTTTTAATATATTGTGATTTTAAATAAATATACAAAGATCATAAAGATTTAATTCACCTTTTGTAAGAGAGGGTAAGAATATGCAAAGGAAATGAGGCCCAATGAAAAAACTTCCTAACTTACATCTTATATCTTAACATCTTCAGACCGTAATTTCTACAAGTATTCCCTATCTTGCCTCATTTATGACTATAAAATAAAATACTAAATTTCTCTTACCAGTTTAAAAATGTTCAAATGTGATATCATAAGCAGGAACCAAAACTATCTCTAGGAAATCTCTACTTAAAGGAAAAACCCAGATAAGAAGATATGATTTAATATGCAAACTTCCAATTTATACTATAGTTTGACCAGCTAAATTAGAAAATGTTTTATTTCAAAGAATAAAGCATATTTAATGACATCTGTCATACCTCTTTATGTGATAAAATTATCATTCCAAATTATGTATAATTCATTAAAGATGAAATTATTCCCAAATAATGAATGATGCTGAATACATGCTTTACTGCCCACCTCCCCCAGCCCTGCAATAGACAGGTGGAAAGTTTTTGCCAGTTTCTTCTCCCACTAAAATGCACTAGTGTAGGCTACAAAAATCCTTGATCTCAGTCAGGTTTCTCTGAATCCATCTTATTTTTATCCTATTTTTCAGAGTTCTTTTCTTTAGGACGTGTCACAGATATAATTCAAGTTTTGTCTGTGCTAGATCCTTGTTTTTTTCTTTAGATTCTCCTAAAGATTCTTAACAAGCTTTTATTTTTCACTTATGTATAGTGCAGGAGGCGTTAAAGAATATTTATAACTCTAAATCACACAGAACCATGTTTAAAGAAAATACATAGTGTAAATCCAAAAACAGTGTTTTGGAATCTTTGTAATTTTCCATGAATTTTTATTTATCATGGTCTTTGCATGTCACTGATTTTATTCAATGGTTTATTGGCTTATTTTTTTTTGTAGATGTTGACTAGTAATGAAAAATAAGCAAGTACAACAGAAGTTACACACAATACTTAACACTGTAAATCAAAGCTAGGAAAAAATAACTATTTTTATTTCAAAAAATATTAATGCTTTTATGCATTTAAGAATTACAAAATAAGTAACTTCAAATAAAACAATCAATTATAAAAAGATTTTCTATTATCCTTATGAATGTGTTGGTTATGTTACATACAGTAACTGAAAATGAAAACAAGAAAAGCAGCTAATTTTACCACCCAAGTAAAAACTACAAATGAAAGCCTTCAGAATTTTATATGAATTCTCTTTCACTTTTACAAACCAAATGACATATAAACACTAAGCTATATCTAAAAAAAAAATAAAATAATCAGAGCAATAAAACTAAGGATATTTAAGACTAATGGAAAAAAATTAACAAAAAGTGGACACCAAAACTAAGCAGATTGTTACCTGGCGCTTCATTGCATGCATTTCTGTTAGACTGCTGTAGTATTCTCCTAGCATGTGCTGTAGGAAAGGGCAGACATAAGGATGAACATAAAATGTATATGAATAGTAAAGACAGGGTCCATAATATGAGTAAGTGAATTTAAAAAAAAAAAAAGCAAATTTCTTTAAAATTGTTTGCCTGAACTGAAATGTTATCACAGGTATGGTTTATAATTTGTTTAAAAAATAATCTTATTAGGGAAAATATCAAAAGATTTGCTATAAACTTATATATAAACTTAATGTGACTGATGATGACTATCATAATAAACTTCTGCCATTCACTCTTAGAAGCATACACATCAAGGTGAACCTCCCACAACTCCTAAGGGGGGAGAGGACTGTAAAATTCAATACTAGCAGTCATATATGCTACTCTCTAGTAATCACGTAACAAAAACTACTAGTCCGTGCTATAGAGAATTTTAGAGTAATGATTAAAACTAAAAATAAGTCTTTTTAGAAAGTGAATATGTAAATACCCATAGGGTATATTTACACAAGTCATTCAATCATTGTATTTTTCTAATAACAGTAATAAGGTCTGAAGTCCTATGACCAACTATCCATTATTTAGGTAATTTGATAATCCAATTAATTAATAAGCCTTTCAATTTAGTGCCCTTCCCCAACCTCCACCAACTGTTTACTCCTTGAAGATCTCACTATTTGATAAAGACAGTGAAAGGAGATAAAAATTAAAAAATTTTGGTAAAATACTGGGGTTACATCAGGAAAATTGATAGTTTTGCCAAAAGGATCCTAGACTTAAGAGAAGGCCAGGATTAAAACTTCCACTCTGTCATTTCTTAGCAATACTACCTTGAGGAAGTCAGTTCAAAATACAAATGTGATGTTTCTTTTCTGATTACAAAAGCAATAAATACTCGTTATGAAAGGTTTAGAAAATATACAAGAGTTTAAAGATGATAAAATCACTATTAGCATTTTGATGCATTTTCTTCTAGTCTTTATTCATTCTGATTTTTTGTTTAAACATAGTTGGAATCACAGTTCAGACAACACTAAATCCCAGTATTTTTTTCATTTTTGTTTCCTTAGCATAGATAAGTACAATTACTGAGATAAAGCCATGACTTTGAAGCTTTCCAGAAAAACTGTACCAATTTATGTTGCTAGCTCTTTATGATGCTGGGGGAAAAAAACAGGGATACTCTCTGACCACATTTCCTCATCTGCAGAATGGAAATAAAACCAATTCACAGCATTATGAGGCTCAAATGAGATGAGTAATTTGTTTAATTTGTACATAGTAAAGCATAATACAAATGGTAGCTGATCCTCTCACTTTTCACCAAGGATTTTATTGACACCTGAGAATTGAGGGTCTCTATTTACTGCCTCCCTCCCCATGTTTCTTTGAGATGTACTTGTTCTTTATAAATTAGCAAAGTACCAGTACTTAAAACAGTGGAAAACACAAACAACTCCATTCATTCATTCATTCATTCATTCAATTAACACTTAGTAAGTGCCTACCACGTGCCCAGTACCATGAGAACATTTAAGGCACAAATATGAAAAGGTATTTTCTGCGGCCAAGGGACTCAAAAAAGGTGACAAAGACACACAAGTAAACACTATATAATGTGATACGGGCAACAGAAGAGATTTACACAGGCTACAAGAGAAATGAAAAAGGAGAAAGGGGAAATTATGAGCTTCGATTTGATGCAATTTCAGAGTTGCAGAATTAACATTTTGTTGAAGACTCCAGTAGAGAAAAAGGCTTACAAAGAGCAAAAAGGACTCCTGCTGAGGTGAGAAACAGCAAGATAGCTAGGCGAAAACTTCAGTTCAGTGCCACAGAAAGAGGCAACTTCAAGGCAGAGAGGGTGGGGAGAAAGAGTCTAGAGATCAAGAGCCAAATCTCTGCTGGCCAGATGTTACATGAAGGCACTTGGACTCTCCCCTGTAAGCATGGTAAAGCCAAAGATTTTAAGCAGGGAATGATAGGCTTTTATATCGAATTCTTATTCAGAGAAGATTTTCAGAATTTCAAATCAGCTCCAAATTAATGTCAACGATGCTTTTTTGTTTAAAATTTCATCGGAAAGTGTCAAAAGCTACTATCACAATCTTAAAAAATACTTCCAGGGCGCCTGGGTGGCTCAGTTGGTTAAGGGACTGCCTTCGGCTCAGGTCATGATCCTGGAGTCCCGGGATCAAGTCCTGCATCAGGCTCCCTGCTCAGCGGGGAGTCTGCTTCTCCCTCTCACCCTTCCCCCCTCTCATGTACTCTCTCTCTCTCTCATTCTCACTCTCTCAAAATAAATAATAAATCTTTAAAAAAAAATACTTCCAGTTCACATTTCTTGATATCAAGGAATGTATACTGTAATCTCTACTTATATAAAACCTTGCACATGACAGAAAAGTGTGACAGACCAATGGCTTTTCAAATCTAAGATGAAGAAGTCCTTAAATTAAAGCAAACCAAAAAAGAACATACCTGAAGATATTTCTGTAGACCTACTGTATTTTATTATTTTTTCCAGCTGCTCATGATTCTTTCTGCTGAATACTTTTGCTTGAACAGGATCTTCAGTCTGGGCTGAATGTCTGTTCCTACTTTTGCAAGGTTCACATGTGCTAGACATACTGGCACTTTCATACCCTTGAGTAAAAAAAGTGACAACTGTTATTAGTTGCAACTAACTCAAACTGAAAGGGAAATTGATTCCCATAGTGCAATAGTACAGGTAACTCAATTTCGAAAGCTGTATAAATAGAAAACAGTAAATACAATGTGTCTTGCAATAACCTTTGGAAGCATGGGGTACAGTAATATATTCTAACACTTCATCGTCCTTTAGACACCACCTTCATGAGTACATCCCAACTCAAACTATACTGTAAGCCTTATATGACCCAAATCCTCTACGGGTCAGTCTCCAAGTTAACCATTTTTCAATATTAGGAAATACAAGAAAGAATCACATCCAATCTACATAAAATGTCCGTAACAGAGAGAATAACGGGCATTAGTCAGATATGTCTGCCTTCTTATAACTTGTGTGTAATAGGACTTGATTTAAAAGGTCTTACCCACTCATAGGTTATCCATATATTCTACTAAATTTTCCTTGCTATATGGCACAAGTCTGGAATTCAATTTTATTTTGTTTCACATGGATACTTGGTTATACCTACCCTATTGCCAATGAAATAAAATGCAACCTTGGTCAATATATTAAGTCTCCATATTTACTGAGGTTTATTTCTGGGCATTCTATCCATTTAATTTATCTATTCCAATGCCATCTTCATTCTTTTAGCCATAGGAGTTTTACAGAATGCTTAAACATCTGGTAAGGCAAGTCCTATGTAGGCAGTTTCTTTTCTTGGCTATTCTTAGATACTTGTCCTTCCATATAAGCTTGGATTTTTTTTTTCCAATTTTAAAAATAGTCCACATGGATTCAAAATGGAATCACATTAAAAGTATTTATTAATTCAAGGAGAACTGGTATTTAATAATTTTACACAATTTTTAAAAACATGGTTATGTTTTTTACATTTGTTCAATCTTGCTTTATGTTCTTCAAAAATATTTACAATTTTTTATGGATCTAGTACTTTCCTTGTTAAATTTATTCCTAAGGATTTCCCCCCCAATAGCTTTGGATACTACTATGGGAAGACTATTTCCCCCTGCTTCCATTCTACTGACTGTTACTATGATAGAGAAAAATATCTGCATACTTATTTCATAACCAGCTGCTTTACTAATTTACTTTAGTAGCTATTTTCCAGTGTTTCCTGGGCTCTCTCAGAAAAAGTTAAAATATTTCCTTTTTCAATATTTATGCCAATTATTTAATTTCTTGTCATAGTGTATCCCAAACAATGCTAGATAATGATGGTGGTAGAGAGGGAATCCCTGTTTAATTTCTAATTTTGATATAGATTATATTTGGAGTATTTTCATTTACAATGTTGTTTGTGACTGGCATTAGCTAACTGCTTTCATTATATTAAATATTAAATAACTGCCTTCTTTGGTGCATTTTACTTGTAATTTTTATTAGGAATGACTTCAAATTTTATCTCATCTACCACTAAGGTTGTATGACTTCTGTCCTTCAATTTACTGACATGAAAATTATGTTGACAGACTTCCTGATAACGAACCATGGTTACATTTCTGTAATAAACCCTATTGACAATAGTCTGATATTCTTTTTGATATACTGGCAGATTAAAGTGGCTAATATTTTACTTTTGAGTTTATATTAGTAACTGAGATTTATCTATTGTTTTCTTTAACTGTTATCTCTCCCATTCACCTTTCCCTATAAAGGTGTCTAATCTGATTCATATGTTGTTTCTGTTGTTTTCCTCAGATAAGATGCTTGACAAGTGAAGGCTCTAGTTTGAATATAGGATTCTTGAGCTGCAGTACTATTTTTTGTCTGTGTATGGACATTATTTCACTTTCTTCTACTTCTTGTGTTGTCTGTTGTCAGTTTGGTTCTTTCTCATTGTAGGTAACTTGTTCTTGCAGTCTGGAAGCTTATTAGATTTCTACTTTTTCCTTGGAATTAAGGAATTCTATTAGAATATACATAAGGATCAAAAACTAATGATGTAATGTATGGTGGTTAACATAACAATAAAAAAATTATAAAAAAAAATATACATAAGGATATGTGTATACTTTTCTCCCTTGCCTCCTGGCTGCACAACAGTTAGCTGTTTTGACCTGCAGTCTCGTCTTTCTTCATTAAAGATTCCCCTTTATTATTATTTATTTAATTAGTGCCTTTCTACCTGTTTCTTCTTCCTTTGGTATTCCCTATATATCATATCTCCAAGATTTGTCATTAAGCCTCTAATCATTTTCTTCTTGATTTTATCTTAGTACTTTCTGCTCTGTACAAGGGCGTAATTCTCCCCCTCAATTTTCTAGGTCAGTAGTCTGGGACTTACTACCAGTCATCCTCTTTTCTCAACAGTCTAAACATTAAATGTGAAAACCATGTTTTCTAGTTCTACAACTCAATCTGCCTAAGTGTTACGATTTTGTTCAAGCGTGTATTTCCTTCAATAATAGCTTTTACTAGATTTTACCTGTTCTAGTGTTCTGCTTCTTGTCTCCTCTCTGGCTGCTGGCCCCTTTTACATGCATTTTTACACTGACTGGGCTAGTCAGGACTCATATCTACCCTTAAGGCTGGACCCAATTGCTGGGTAGCTTCACTGGCATGCTGACAGTACTCGGAAGTCTCATCCTATGGCCAAGCAACGTTTTGGCTAGCAAGCTGTCAGTCTCCCATCGAGACAGTAAGAAGCTGCTTCTCTTTTCAGTCTCCTCGGCTGCAAAGGCCAAATGCTGTCCCAGATGCAAGGTAGGGAGGATGCCACCTACTTGTTCAGTGACACCCTTTCCCATTAGTACCTTGAAGTGACAAAAGACTGCTATTCTTGGAAGGAAGGGAGGTGTCAAGAATAGGAGGTGCATGGATGTTGGTCCTCCAACCAAGTTTTCTCCAAGAATTGTAGAACTCTGATCTTTGCCCCTGACACTCCCTGAATGAGCCAAGAGAACCTAAAGCTTTCCTACGTACATTCTCCAGACCAGAACAGCTGCTCTGCTAATAACAAGTAGGTTCCCAATATACTGTCAATTCATTCTCTGTAATATCCAATCTGGAGTTAACCTTCCCTTTTTAAGGCCATCAATCAAGTTGGGACTTTATCATCTCTACTTGGGTTCCTGATTTCTTTGTTGGTCTCTGAGACTAAAGTCTAGCCACTCTGATCCATTCTGCATGAAACTTACTGGAAAAAGAGCCCTCTTGAGTTATTTTTGACCTTCACATAAACAGGTCCAGCAATAAGGGTATACAACTGCCAAAAGTAATAGATAAAATAGAATTAATGAAGGGTAACGATACCTCTGAGTTACACTGGCTAAGCCAGCTAGTATAACACCACCAACACCACCACATGATGGTCATTAGCGTAAGGGCGTGACCTCCTATCCCACTCATCACTCTTTGCCTGGAGCACAATCTGTTTTTCTCAGTACGAGTGGCAGGATATTTAGGAAAAATAATACTTCTAGTTGTGTCTCCACTTTTGGGACACGGCTCAGCTGTGACCTCTGGTGGCACCCTGGAGACCTTGCATATATCCACACAGCCCACAAAGGTAAGGACTGAACTGCAGCTGAGTCTAAGTCTTGACAGAAGGCCTGATGATCCTCCTCCTGGAGCACAGAACACAAGAACATGGGAGGCTCGTGAGGAAATGCTATGTGGCCATTGTTCACCCGCCTCCCCATCCTCCTGTAAAGCTGTCCTGAAGAGGTTCTTATCTCCTCCTGGGTTCTGATGAAATAGGAGACCTCGGAAACCTCTCCTTCTCACTCTGAGGACACACCTCCAGACTATAAAGTGGTCTGTAGCTACAGCATAGCACCAGCTCCTCAACAACAGGGGTCCCAACACTCATGCTATAATTGTCACCTGGACTCTTTTGTTTCAGTGTTCCCCTGGTGGCCTGTGGAACAAAGAACACAGGGAGTTGGGACTTCCAGCTACTCTTACTTTCCCCGCCTATGTAAATGATCATCTCTCTGAATCTAAAAAGGATTGTTTCTTTCCTGGCCACATCTGTCAGGCCTTGCCCTTCCTAACACTTAACATCCATTTCATCTCATTCTTCATTCGTAAACAAGAGGAAAGGGAAGAGAAAAGAAATGAAAAGACTCAGGGATGGTTACAGTACATTAACAGTTCTATCCAGTATTCTAAGAAAAGAATGAGGAAGATCTAGATTATATGATCCCACTACTCTCTAGTAATATCAAAAAAAGAAATGGACCTGGTAGAGTGTAGCCAAATTATAGGTCTGATACCTGAAGCACACAAAGAGGCAAGGAAACATGCTCAACTCAGAAAGTCTGAATTGGAATGAAAGTTTAAAAGATGATTATCACTATCACATAGTTTGTAAAACTTTACTTCACATGCAGTGATAACGTACCTTTAATGTATATGTACATATAAAGACCTTCTAAAGATTGAAGTACAATCTAAAGATTAAAATTACCATCACTAGAAACAAAGTTAAATGAAGATTTAGCATGCCACCTCTGAAAACTGTCCCCAAGTGCAAAAACACATACCAACAGTTCAGTCTAGTAAATCTGGGACAGCATAACCGGCTGTGCTGCGTCTCTCAAGACAGAAACTGAAGTCCCACCATGCTGGTCTATGTATCATATCCTATTGCCTTCCCCAGCTGTTCTCATCTTTTCCTGCCTCTAAACTTCTTTTCATTGTTAACTATAGTTTGGAATGCCTTCCAATATTCTCTCCATCCACCTACATTTAAGACAAGTAAATATTCTATTTTCTAAGAAATCATGGCTATTCCAACCCCATAAAATAGCACTGGACTAGCTCAGTGCCTCTCAGATTTTAATGGGCACATTTTCATATTAAAACATCTGGAATCTTGCTAAAATACACACTGAAAAACAATGTGTATTCACTCGGTTGGTGGAAGGTGGGACCTAAGAGTGAATTTTTAATAAGCTCCCAGAGGATGCTAATGCTGCTTGTCCATGGTTCACACTTTGGATAGCAAGGGTTTAGCTGACAAATTTGATTTTGCTACATATTAGTTTGACTCTGCATATATTAGTTAGATTCTGCTACCAAGTCTTTTGATTTTTGTGTGTGTGTCTTAAAGTAGGGCTCTCACTGACAGATGGTCTTGAATGCCTGTCAAACAAATAAATGTGTATTATGTTTCTGGTAGGTATTTTTATACTCAGAAGAGAGCACATAGATCAGAATGTCAATCTTTGCCTTGAATCAAAAAAGCTGAATTGTATATACGGAATCATAATTCCTCAGAGTAAAGGGGTTTCTCAAAATTAAATATACCAATTATTTCTAGGTTTAGGTAGTTATGGCCATTAGTTGGCTTAAGAATTCCCTAAGACCCTGCTACTTAAAGTGAAATCCACAAACCAAGATCGACGAGACATGGAAACCTGTTAGAAATATAGACCTTTGGGTCCCTACCCAGACAGAATCAATCTGCCTTTAAACAAGATTCCCAAAGAGAAACATTAAAGTTTAAGAAGCACTACCCTAGCACACTCAACTGGCTGAATGAGAAAATGCTAGAAATTAAGTATTAGTGTTTCTTCATTTATTCATACGACAAAAAGCATTTCTGTGGGGGCAAGGTAATAGAGAAGAAGTTTGATGAGTTACCCAAAGGGGCACTCTCTAAACATGGCCATGGTTCATTATGTACTTAAATGTACTCTGGTGGCACCAAGAGGAATCTTGGAGAAAGCAGAATAGTTGGACTTTCAGTCATTTGAATACTAATTTGCTACATAAAATCAGCTCCTCCCAAACCTATATAAATGATCGAATATTTTCAAAGATGATAACATGTGTGCTGAGAAAAACTATCATCCCTCCCTGTTCAAAGTTGCTTGTTTCACCATCAAATCAGATTCTTCAGATGAGAGTAGCAGTAGCCAAGGACATGAAGGATATATGAAGAACTGAAATGAAATAAAGGAGCAGGTATTCTTTCTTATATCCACAGTTTTCATCAGATTTTTCAAGTGTTTCATTAACCAAAAATGGCTAAGATGAATGCTGCAAATGTTTACAAGTCGATTTTTTACCACAGGGTTTCCTAGGGCCTTCATATCCTTGCATATATTGGGAGCTTCCAAGAGAGAGTTAGCTGGTATGTGGTGATTTCTCAAACTTTTCTGATTATAAGTCTTAAATACTTTGTCCTTAAGCACCAAGTACAATCTCCTTGAACCCAGAACAACCTCTCAAAGCCATAGCCAAAAAGCATCCCTTGCAAACTTGAAGGAGCATCCTTTAACTCTAATATTCCAGATTCTAGTTAATAAAACTATTTCTACCTAGCATTAGACTTGAGTAAATTCTTCAAAATTCAAAGAACATCTTTTTTTTTTTAATGGCATGCAGTTAACACTATAAAAAGAACTTTGATAAGATATCCAATGTCAAGATTCAATAAAACATGGGTTAATGTTTCACCTTATTAACTAAAGTTAATTTCCTTAAGGACTAAGAGCAAACTTGTTTTAAAAGTGATTTCATCTATGATATTCAAAGACTGCAATGTAGTTACAGACCCAAATTTCTTTGAATGAATCAACCAAGGATGTATCAGAAGTCATAACTAAAGTGTTGGATGTAAGATTAGATGTAATATTAAGAAAGAATAACAGTAAAAATTGGACACTGGCAATTTTTAGTAACCTACAAGATTTGGAAAACATCTTCTAAGCTCATAGTAACCACATACACAGGAAATATAAGAAGTTTTAAGAACCACAAAAAGAATAAATATGTCTTAAAATATCTACAACATTAAACCCTATTTGATAAATTTTATATTAAAAAACTATAAAGGTGACTAAAAATAACTTTATTCAACTAGGTCTAGAACAGTGCTTATCCATTTAGCCACAAAGAAATGAAGTACGTCAACATGCCAGAATAAAGTTACCAACATTTACACTGATCAATATTCAACAAAGTTTAACACTTACCAATATTTTTAACTCTGCTTTTCAGCTGAGTAGAATGCCTTCTCTTACTCTTTGATTTAGGAGTTTTATCTTTAGATGCCAGGCTGGCCTGTGCAGATGCTTTCCTTGTCTTGAATGTTTTGGTTACTGTTGTTGGATCCACTGGATCAGGCATACTGCTAAAGCTTTCTAATGACTCTTCATCAAACTGGTGTCTTCTCCGGCTAGTATCTAATTGATTTTTGCGATTACTATTTGTAGTTTTCTCTACAGACACTGGAAATCCAGTCTTGGTAAATGGTTTTTCTACGTCACCTTCTTGGTCATATAACCACGGTGTCCTACTGTTTTCCACCTCCTCTTCGGGCTGTTTTTGATTCCTTACCAATGGAAATAAATTTTTATAGATATGATGACAGAGTTCTAGGCTTACTGGAAAACTGCAGACATAGTTAACAGATTTAGGCAAATAAAAACATCAACAGGCTATAAAAACATTTTCACAGAAATACACTTCAAATATGTAAGTATTATATAGCCTAATGTACTTAATTACTTCAAACTTCTTTGAGAGAGAGCGAGGGAGAGAGAGAACTTTTTTTTTTTTTAAGATTTTATTTATTTGAGAGAGAGAGAGTACAAACGAGGGAAGGGACAGAGTGGACAAGCAGGCTCCAGGCTGAGCGTGGAGCTGGACACAGGAATCAATCTCAGGACCCTGAGGTCATAACCTGAACTGACGTCTGACACTTAACTGACTGAGCCACCCAGACACCCCAGAGAGAGAATCTTAAGCAGGTTCCACACCCAGCATGGAGCCTGAAATAGGGCTCGATCTCACAACCCTGAGATCATGACCTGAGCCAAAATCAAGAGTCGGATGCTTAACCAACTGAGCCACCCAGGGGCCCCTTTAACCTTTAATCAGACCCTTCTCACTAAACCATTTTCACTGGCAAAAGTTGCAAACAAAAGATCTAGCACTCATGATGAAAAAGAGTGGGAAAGAAAAATTTAAAGAAAGGATGGGACATACAAGGAAAAAACAAAACACTTGGAGGAATAGCTGAGAAAGAGTTATATGTTGTAGAGGGTTTGGGAATATACACAAATCTGTGTCACTTAAAGCAGTTCAAATAGAACTGGAATTTGGTGAAAACAATCGTCCATGCAACTCGTAATTTATTCCTCCACACATTAAGTAGAGTTTAGTTGTGGTGGTCTGGTGTCATTTTCCAAATTTTATCTGCTAAACACTGATATCCTTTAATATGTTAATAGGTATTTACTGACCATCTAAGTTTGGGAAACAATAAAGTTAATCATGTCTGCAAGATTTCTCAAAACTTTAAACATGCTAATGTACTATACAAATGTCTTAGAAGGGAACATAGTGAGCAAGATGTCCAAAACTTTTATCACAGAACCTGACATAAAAAATAGTGTTCTGAAGAACATGATTTAGCAGACAGAGACCTACAGGGTTCAAATTAAGACAAGATTAGCAAACCTATAGTCTGCAGGCCAAATTCAGCCTGCTATCTATTTCTGTACAGCCTGAGAGCTAAAATGATTCTTTTTTGGGGGGAAAAAAAAAGATTTTATTTATTTATGTATTTTAGAGAAGGGGGGAGGGGCAGAGGGAGAGAAAGAATCTCAAGCGGACTCAGCACAGAGCCCAACTTGAGGCTTGCTTGATCTCACCACCATGACATCATGACCCAAGCCGAAATCAAGAGCTGGGCACAACTGAATGAGCCACCCAGGTGCCCCTAAAATGATTCTTACAAAATAAATAAGATAAAATAAAATAAAATAAAATAAAAGTCAGGGAGGTCAACCATACGATTCCTAAAGTCAAATACAAAGTTCAATTCTTAGATTTGCTTAATCAAGTAAGAAAAAAAAAAATCCATGATTTAATAATTAAATAGTGCCAAAATGATTAAGTGCTCCAAGACAGGCCCAATCACACAACTAAAGAGAAAAGTAATGTGAGTTTTATATTTGTAAAGGGCTTACGAAAGACAAAATCAAAGAGATACTTCTTACAGAAGAAGTACTAGGCTGAACTGACCTCTAATTTTTCATCCTTCTAAAAAGTTTTTTCTGAAGTAAATAACAGTAAAAATAAAAAGACTATAGTTTTACCAGCTGGCTATCAAAATCATTTTCTGGATTCACACAATCATTAAGAATATTATTTATTGGGCGCCTGGGTGGCTCAGTTGGTTAAGCGACTGCCCAGCTCAGGTCATGATCCTGGAGTCCCGGGATCGAGTCCCATGTCGGGCTCCCTGCTCAGCAGGGAGTCTGCATCTCTCTCTGACCCTCTTCCCTCTCGTGCTATCTCTCATTCTCTCTCTCTCAAATAAATAAAATCTTCAAAAAAAAAAAGAGTATTATTTATTTAGCTATAAAAACAGAGAATGATTGACCTGACTCAATCCAAATAGTCTTTTACACTATTTGAGTCAAAAATTTTATTTGGGAAGACTATCATATTAAAAAATAATAACACTGAGGAAGAAAACACGTTAACACTAAGAAACAGAAAGAAATCCTGACTATGACTGATAGCATCTATCAATAATCTAATAGTGCTCAACATTACATTTAAATAGGCCTAAAAAACTTATTCTAATCAGGAGCTATGAATCAAGGAGCCATTACTTTACAACTATCATCTAGTAGTTAATATTAGTTTCTCGCCCTAAAGTGAACTTAAGGACAGATATCAAATCACGGCAAAAAGACACTATATGGGTCAGGTCTTATCCTTCCACTCTGATCAAAACACTGAACTGTTCTTGTATCAGGGTTAGTGGCAGGTGTATGCCTGAGAGAGACCTGGTAAAGTGTCAGTTTAATACTCTCAATGCTAACAAGCCAAACAATAACAAGCATCCTTCCTACTTGTGTTTTCAAATTATGTATAATTAGATATAATCACAAAAGTGACATTTAAGAAAAGAATGGATTATATTCACAATCGAGTACCTTTGTTTTTCTGCTCCAATAGAAGAACTGCTTTCAAAAGGTTTTGGAAAAGCCATATATTCTGTTTTCCCTGAAGAATTCTGTGCTAATGGTTGCTGTTCAGTGGGTGTAGAAATATTCTGAGAAAAATCTCCAAAATTAGAAGGAAATAAAGGGCTGAAATTCATACCTAATAAATAAAAGCAATGGGTAAGACAACAACAAAGAAGGACCTAAAGGCCTTAACATGATATTAAAAGACAGTTTTAATTAAATGTGCTGCTCAAATCCACCAAAACAAATAACTGTTATAATTAACTAACATTCATTTGTTCAATCACTGTTTACAGTTCAGCCCACTAGGTTTTTGGCATTGATGATTAAATAACAGGTAAATGGCTACAAGAGTCTGGTACCTAGTAATTTGATGAATGTCAAGTACTATTACCCCTAACTGTTAGCTCTGAAGGGATGAGGATTATTTATTTACCTGTTATTTCATTTAATGCTCAAAACAACTCTATGACATAGGTATTATATTTTACCAGGAAGAAAATTGGCTCAAAGATTAAACAGCTAGTAAACTGAAGAGCAGGTCAGACCTCAGGTCTGCACAATTCTAAAGCTTATGTTCTTTCCACTCTACTTTAACTGGGAAACTAGAATAGAACTAAATTCTTACCATAGAGTGTCGTGTCAGATGTATTTGCAAGGGGCGACTAACAACTTGGTGGGGAAAAAGGGGTGAGAGAGGCTTCACAAAATTAGTTCGTGAAGAATGAATAGTCTTTGCCCAGGGCTGGCACAGGCATGAAGCATATTAGTGTAAAGGAACTGCATGTGCAATTTTTAGTATTATCTGTTACCTAGAAATCTACTCAAAAAATGTTTGCTGCCAATATTCATCAGTGTTCAAGAACTAAAATGCTTCTTAAATTTGTTAATGCCATTGTTTTTATAATCCTAAGAAAATACACTGCTATTTTTATTGATTTATATTCAAAAAGCCTTCCGGCCCTCCCAACCCTTTTTCTCCTCCTGTATTCCCTGGCAAACACTTTCAACTCCATCTCTTTCATGACTCACCTTATCTAACTGATCACCTAGTTTATTCTACCTCTAGAAAGTCTTTTGAATTACTCCTAGTTCTGTACCCCTCCTGCCAATGCCTTAGATCAAGCTGTCATTCTTTCTCTGCTATTACTACAACAGCCTTCGGTTTCCTATTCACCAGCGATACTCTTAGCTCCTCTCTCGAATCTCCGCAACGCTATTACTAGTGCGATATTCCTAAAATAGAAATCTCATGCTATCCCCCTGCTCAAAATCCTTCAATGGCCCCTCTGGAAGGCAAAGAAAGTCCAAGCTTCTTTGCACTGCACAAAAGGTCTCTGCTGCTCTCCGGCCATATCAATTACTCTTCCCCTGCTAAGGCCCTGAACACTAGCCATACTTAATGACCTCTAAATTCCCTACATGATATACTGTTTCATTGCTTTGTAACTCTAAGTGATCCCATTGACTGGTTAGGAAGTCCTTTCTCCTCTAATATCCCTGGAAATAAATTCTGTTCATTCTTTAAAAAACATGCTTTCTGGGGGGGGGGGGGAAGACTTGCTGACAAGTCTTCTCAGTTGTACCACTGCTACCGCCCCCATGGCACTGCACTGAGCACCTAATGACATGCTTAGCTTCCCCACTAGACTCTAAATGACTTTAAGCATTCATTTTACTCATCTGAATCCCAGTCATTTATATGTCTCAGGACATAACAGGTGCAGAAAAAAAAGTCTGAATACAAGCCAAAGCTAAATAAAATTAAATCTAAGCCTAAGCTAAGCTTTAGTCTAGTAACGTCTCCCTACTGCACAGTGCCTGGTGTGCAGCAGCCATGGGACAGGTTAAGTCCCCTCTTCCTTAATAAACCGCTGCTGAATAATTCAAAGGTGTAAGACTGAGAAATCTTTCCTAAGTAGTTGACTTAATTTCATTAGCAACCATTTCAAGCTTAAGTTTTCACCATAAAGAATCAATGTAGAAGAGTTCGTAACTTTCTTTGCATACACCTCCTACCATTCCAGAAGAGACCCATTAAACTCCATGCAAGAGACAAACAATACTCTCAGGCATTTTGCATTTATTTATTTTCCTCTCAAGTTTTCAGTCACTTACCTGGTGCAAATGATGAAATATTAGTAAACCCGGGTAGGTTAAACAGATTTACAGGCTGTGATGGAAAGCTGAAAGGACAAAATAAACTGGGAGAAGAAGGGTGTGAGGCACTGCTGCCTCTTTCCTTGCTTCCAGGTTTTTCTGGGTGCTGATTTTGCTGGCGCATAAGTTCATTTAGCATTTGTTTCAACCTATAAATATTTAAGAAGTCAGTAACTTACAAATCAGTTATATTACCTTCTGTTTGCAATACTTTCAGAAAAAATGATTCAAGAGCATGCAAAAGAGATGAACTGTTTTTGACATTTACTACAACAAACATCTGCTTGTCCTGCAGGCTTACTTCAATAACTTGGCCTTTGGAACAAGAATTGCACTTATCACTTCGACCAGCTAAAAAGCGTAACTATAAGAAACTCATATTTTTGTTATTAAAACTTTACCGAGATATAATTTACATACCATACAGTTCACCTAATGTAAGTGTGAATTTGAACACTGAAAATTTTTAAAAACTAAAGTCTACAGTATTAACAGGGAACGTTGGGAAAATCACTGTTTATAAAATTTTTGGGTACAGAGAATGTTTGAATATTCAATTTTGCTCATGTCTTTTTCTCCCAGAAGATAACTATAAAACACATGCTCAGTTTTAGCATTTACTATACAGTTTTACTGCTTCTAAGAAACAGATTACCTTTGCACATTATTCTGTTGCCATGTTAGCTGAGTATAGCACTGGTTCAACTGGTGCATTATAAAGTGTACTTGAGGAGATGAAACATTGCTCGGCATTACACTGTAAGGACCCGTAAGAAGAGTTTGTAGCAGACAAGAGAGCGTCTACGGAAAGACAAATTGTCATGATAGTTACTGATGACTTGAGAAAAATGTGCACTGCTTCAAAAACAAGATATAAAAAATGTACTTTCATAGTAAACTTTACCTGCTGGTCTTGCATCAAAGTCTGACAAATGTTGACACTGAAATCAAGTTGTTTCTTTAGCTGATTAATTTGTTCTTGCCATTGTTCTTTCTCCTCTACATAAGAGAGTTCTGACACCCAACGAAGGTTCTCCTGACGCTGCATGCTGATATTCTGCTGTCTTGTCTTGGCTAAAGGACGGTAATTTCCATCTGCTGAAAAAGGCCGATTGTTCTTCCACCTAACACAGATTTAAAGCATTAGGTCATCGTATGTAATTATTTGGTTTTTAAAATCTGGCAATAGGGAGCCTGGGTGGCTCAGTTGGTTAAGCAACTGCCTTTGGCTCAGGTCATGATCCTGGAGTCCCGGGATCGAGTCCCACGTCAGGCTCCCTGCTCAGCGGGGAGTCTGTTTTTCCCTCTGACCCTCTTCCCTCTCGTGCTCTCTCTCATTCTAATAAATAAATAAAATCTTTAAAAAAATAAAAAAATAAAATAAAATCTGGCAATAAATCCTGTTACCATGGTTCATAGACCAGTATTTTCTTAAGATCAAAGTTTAAGTTCAAAGGACTTCAAAAGTATGGAAATGAGGGGGAGATGGCGGGGGGAGGGAACTCCAGATTTCTAGCCTTGTGTAATTATCATTTTTAATTCCCCCTTTTTTTTTTACTTATGTCTTACACAGAAGTATCCATGTAATTTTGTATTCCACAAAATTAAAATATATATCACAAGCATTTTTCCATTCTTCATGATTTAAACTTAACATGACATTCCATCATCAAGTGGAACTACTTAACCATCTTCTATTCATGAAACATTTTTCACTGTTAGAAATAATGTAATGAATATTCTGTTGCTAGGTCTTTTTCAATATCTATGATTTTCAGTTTTGTTTAATTCCCTACAACAGAAGCCAAGATCAAAGCTTATAAACCTTGATTCAGTCTAGCTGGGATCTATCTTGACAAAACTCTTATGATACAATAAAAAGTACATTTGGTCTTTGTCCCAAGTTCCCAGCATAGAGCTCCCAAAACTCTTGGCATCTCCTGAGACCTAGAAGTGTCTTTTGTTATTCATAATGGACACCTTTCAACCATAGCTAAGTTTATGCTAATGACTCTTGGAGGCCCTAGACAGCTTCATGGAGGGGGACTGGTCACAAAAAAAAAAAAATCAACCAGGTGTTTACAGGGTTGGAACTTTCAGCTCCACCTCCAACTTCAAGAGGGGAGGGGCTAGAGTGAGTTTAATGTCAATGGCCAATTATTTAATCAGTTGTGCCTAGGGAATGAAACTTCCACAAAAACTCCTTACCAAGCTGCTTAGGAGAGCTTCTGGGTTGGTGAACACACTGAAGTGCTGGGAGGGTGGCACATCCAGAGAGAACATGGAAGCTCTGCACCCCTTCCCCAACCCATCCCTTGCCCTATCCATCTCTTCCATTTGGCCGTTGCTGAGGTACATCCTTTATAATAGGTAGAGTTCGTAAGTTGTTCCAACAAATTATGAAACCTGAGGAGGGCTTGTGGGAACCCCCAAATTTTTAGCAAGGTCAGACAGAAGTGTGAGCACATGGAGACTTGGGACTTGCAACTGGCATCTGAAGTGAGGGCAATATTGTGGGACTGGGCCCTTAACTTGTGGCATCTGCCATAATTCCAACTAGTTAGTGTCAGAACTGAATTAAATTATGACACCCAGTTGGTTCGGAGAATCAGAGAAGTGCTTAGTGTCACAAAGACCTGAGACTTCAGGAATCAAACAAAAAGTTAACACAATGAAGCTAACCTATTCTTAGTTTCTTTTACATTGTAAGAGTTATGATTCGCACTGTTAGGAGGATACATAGAAAAGTTATCATTGGAACTGGCATCTTGCTCTTCTTCTTCCTCCTCTTCATCCGTCCGAACAACTCCTTCAGAAAGGTAATCATCTTCATCTCCTTCTTCATCCAGTGCACACTGAGTAGAACCTCCCCAAGTTGCCATTGTTCTAGAGATTAAGAGACAAAAAATAAGAGATCATTTTGGAGATCAGCTAAATACTTTACCATCTACTATGTGCCAGACATTGTACCATGTACATATGTATGCATATGAAACATGTTTGCCTGTTTATAAAATTTCACTGAATTCCACTGCTGATATGTGGAATATGTTTATTCTGCCTTCCGCAAAACAATTCTTCAAATAAATTAAAACAGTAATTGTATCTCCTAGAACTTTTTTCCTAAACTAAATTCCCTCAGTTTTTAACTTTACCTCGAGCAAGTTTTCTAGATCAGAGCTGTCCAAAAGAACTTTCTGCAATAGTAGTAATGATCTATACCTGTGTACCCAATACAGTAACCACTAAGTACACACAGCTAATGAGCACTTAAAATGTGGCTGGTGTGACTGAGAAAATGAGTTTTTAATTTTATTTAATTTAAATAGGTACATATAGGTAATGTAACAGCTGCCACACTGGAAAGCCCAAGTCTAGAGCCATGGTTCCCAAACCTAGATGCGTACTATCAAAAATACCCAAAGAACTTTTCTAAAGTTCAGATGTGTGGTACTCAGAACAGAAAAAAATACTATAAATATAATTTGATAAATAAAGTGCATTTGGGACTTCAAAACAGAACAAGTTCTTCTATGAGGAAGAGAAGTTTGGTGCAATGTTCCATAAATGTCATCTGAGGATATCAAAAGGTAAGGTCACAACAAATTTGAATTTCAAAATATTAGCTCTGAATACTCCCATACAGATAATTAACCAACCTTACAAATGGCCAATTTTTTAGAAATATTCTAAATATGGAAATTTCAAATGTAAATCCTAAAAACTAAATTTTTTTAAAATTTAAAATAAATTTATTAATTTATTTTTATTTTTTGATTTTTGAGAGAAAGAGAGCAATCATGCAAGGGCGGTGTGGGAGTTGGAAGGGCAGAGGGAGAGGGAGAGAGAATCTTAAGCAGGCTCCATGCTCAGCGTGAGCCCGATGCAGCGCTCAATTTCACAACCCTGAGATCATGACCTGAACTGCTATCAAGAGTCGGATGCTTAACGGACTGAGCCACCCAGGCACCCCAAAACTAAATTTCCTAATCCTTAGGAAATTTACAAATAGGAGATTCCTCATTTAAGTAAAAATTGTGCTTATTTCTGGCCTGATATGTAAGTACTACAAAGTAACAAACATTTTCACTTTTATAAGCTTAAAACTTAACTAAGAACATAAGGCTTATACACTCAAGAAAATCTGTATCACCATTTGATCAAGTGCCTTGAGAAGTTAGAACAGAAAATAGCTGGATTTAGTTAAACTGAACCACGAAGGTGATGCTTTAACAGCAGCCTCAGGGAAACAGCAGATTTGAGCTGAGAGGGGAAATGAAGCTGCCCACTCTACATGCCTTAGGTAGGTGATGTTAAAAAAAAGATTTAAACCCCTCTTACTTTTCGGTTCTACTCTGTTGAGGCGTACACAGGTTCTCAGATCCATCACTTCTCAACGACACGGCCACGGGCGACGTAGTTTCCGCTAGACCCTGCCTCCTCTGATGTTCCGCCATCAGCGCTTCAAGCTGCTTTCTCCTCTGTCGTAGCTCTTCCCGTAACATCTCATGTCTTCGCATTTCTGACCACAGCTATTATTTTAAAAGTCAGAGTCGAGTTAGTATAAATATCTGGATTTGTTTTAGCCTTAAAGACTAAAATAACAAAGACTTCTATTCTCACTCTATCCTTTTTACACCAAGATATCCCATGGTGAAAATAGCATTTTCGTGATAAATAAGAAAAAAATCAGGCATTAATTCTTAATGAAAGTAGCGGCCAAATATTTAGAGAAAGGTAAAATGTTTTCTACAAATCACATATAAATAAAAGGCCAAAGAACAGGTCTTTCTAACTGAAATGATTGCTGTTCGTTGCAACTATCTCTTAAATACAATTCTGCCAAATATTTCCTAATAATTTTGAAATTATTTTGAAAAGATCCCAACTTAATTACTTTTTGAAAAAATTATTTCCTCCCAACTAAAAGACACAAAACAGGCTGCATTTAAAAACATGTTTCACAGATATTCAGTTTTCCTTCTCTAAGATGTGACATAAGACTTGGGAACAACAGGTACAATATACAATACCTCGTTATCTACTACTGAAGAATCTTCAGGCTCAAAACCAGATTTGCTTGTACTGGTTTCATTTCCATTAACAGCTGGGGTTGAAGTAACAGCTGGGATATATTTTTTTGTGGGAAAATTACCCGCACTCGTGGCTGACAGCTAAAAAAGGATTAGTAAAAACCATTATGAGGAATTAGAGCAATTATGTTAATTTCATAAAAGCAGTTATTTTACCATTTCTCTGGGGGCTCTAGTACCATATTTAATTTGTTATTATCAGACCTCAATTGCCATCATGATCCAAAGAAAGCCTGACATAAGAAAACAAAGACAAAAACACAGGGTAAAGTGGAGGATTAGCAGCCAAGCCTCAAGAACAAAAGAGAAAAGAGGGATAAAATGCTATGTGGAAAATTTCATATACTCAATCCAACTCTCGTCTATATTCTTCCGGACATTAGACTAGGGAGAAGGGAAAAGGATTAGATAAAAGTAGAAAAGGTTAAAAGTCTAGGGAAGAAAAAAAAAAAAAAACTGTTACAGAGAAACATCATTTGATGTGTTTCCCTTTCTTTGAAAACAAAACCTGAGGAATAAAGCTAACCAAAATATTTTAAGAAAAATCTCAAAAAGACATGGGTGTTTGCTTCCTAACTTTACTCCTACTCCTGATTACCTGATATGGTCAAAGATTACTCATTCTCTGTTCAGTCCCAGAGGGTACTACTTAATAAGCAAACTACAAATATTTTCATTAATTTCTTTAGGTAATTCATGATGGTTTAAGGGCTTTATTCTGTAATTTTAGGCCAATAAAAGATGGAAATGCTATTCCCTTAAAGGCAAAGCTGAAACCAGAATATTTTAATAGTTATGAATACTCATGTTCCGAATCTAAAGTAGCTAGCCCAACAAGTGAAAAAAATAGAAGTAATCAGAGTCAATTCCTATGTGCTATCTTTCATAGTGTAAATGTATATCCCTAACCTGTTTCATTAGTTCATCCATTTTATTAATCCTAATATTGATATGAATGTGTCATCTCAGTACTAGAAAAAGTAAGAGTACTTTCCAGTGACATTAGGTTTTAAACATCTTTTTCATACAAACGCAAAGAAAGAACGTTCCTAATTACCTGTAAGTCAGGACATGCCTTCTGCAATGCTTGAATTTTCTCTTGAATCTCAATCAGTTTCTTTCTTTCTTCCTGCAATTGTTTGAGTTCTCTCTGTTGCTGCTGTAGTTTAGCCTCATAAAATTTCTCTCTATAATTAAATTGACAGTTGCAGACTCCAATAAATCTGATAGCATTAAGCATGACCTAATATAGAACCTAGACAAGTAAGTACCTTCTCTACAATAAGCACTAAATTTTTATTAAACGAAGCCCATGAGCTTAACATACCTTGCCTTCTCATTTATTCCAGCATCTTTCTGTGTTTTATTGGCATTTCCTCTAGTATTATTTGCATTTTGTTTGTTGTCATCTTCTGCTGGGTAGAAATCATCCAAATTTGAAGTATTGGTAGAGATAACTCCATGATCTGCTGCATCATCATCCTAAAAAGCATCATTAAAATAATCTTGAAATCTAAAGGCATTATCCAATTCAAAGCTTAAATATCACTATTTTGTAAAATTTACATGACATAAAAATTAGAGATTAAGTACATGATTTTTAGAGAACACTGAAGTTCATCCTCTACCAATGACAGGAAACGAAGTACTAAAACAACAAAAAAGTACATTTATAATCTGAGCTGCCAATTACCCACTAATGACTCATGTTAAGTTGCCTTTTCTTATCTTGACCAGATATTGAGCTATCAAAGAACAGCTTTATACAGAATACAAAAAAGATCAAAAACACACCATCAGATACGGGAACTCTTGATACCAGATAATTTTTCATAGAATGTAACTTTTTTAAAAGATTTTATTTATTTATTTGAGAGAGAGAGAGAGAGAGAAAACACATTAAGTGGGGGGAGGAGTGGAGGAAGAAAGAATCTCAGGCAGACTCTGCACTGAGCAGAGACTGACGCAGGGCTTGATCTCACAACCCTGAGATCACAACCTGAGCCAAAACCAAGTCAGATGCGTAACCAACTGAGCCACCCAGGCGCCCCTTAAAATGTAACTTTCACATTAACGATTTCAAATAATCAATGTCCAGTCCACTGTCACTTGCTTACAATTTCCTATTCTCTGACTTTGGTCTTTAGTTTGCCAAACCAGTGCCAATGACTCACAATACAAAAACGAATGAGAATATCTCACATCTATCATGACTAATGGAAAAACAAAGTTCTCAGCTTCCTAAGGGTAGGTCCCCATCTTCTGTTAAAATCAATGTAGTTAGTAAGGGAGGGAGGTTGTTGGGGTGAACTACTACATTTTTAAAAAAACATTTAACTCTATATAATTTTATATTTACTCATGCTTTCTCTGACAACCTCAACTGAAACTTAAACCTTTGGAAATATCATTCTAGTAAAACCTTAAAAAGAGTTAGAGCTGACTCAATTATAAAACTGGGTAGACAATTTTAAGTTTGTAGATGGTGTTATCTGGTATTCTTATTCATCTAAAAACTAGCCCAATTCGTTCCTAATATGGGTAAGAAGATGGAAAAGAAACTGAGTTGGGATTCAGGAATAGAGAAGCTATAATTATGAGGCCTTTTCACATAATAAAAAGTGGAAAAATTAAAGTACAAGAAAAAAAAACAAATCTGCCTGATGTTTCAGAAGGCAGTGAGAAGGTACCTGAACAACTGAGTATCAACTCTGATGCTTAAAGAAATTAAGTGACTCAAGAATTATTGTTTTAACAGTCTTTTGAAAAAATCAAGCAGTATTTACCTGTACCATAGCAACAAGATCTTGCAACTGTCTTAGTTTCTGTTTTGCAGCCATAAGTCTATTAATCTTCTGTTCAAATTCAGCATCTTCGGGAGCCTCATCAACCAGACTGCTCCTATGACTAGTTAATGAAGCGCCACTGATTCCCTCATCTTCTGCTTCTTCCTCTTCTTCCTCATCATCTTCACCTTGTGCACCATGAATCCCCTGTTCTCCTTCTCTATTATAGTGACAATCTGCTAAAAGTATCAATGAAATCAATAATTTAATAAATTTAAGAAGAGCACTAATGAAAGAAAATCCACTTCAAAAAAATAATATGGCAAAATTATCCATCATCATACCATACCATAGTCAATCATACCTAAAGAAGGAGGCATGTTCAGAGCCCTTATGTTGGCAGCAGATCTGTTGTTAATTTCACAATTAGAATTAACTGATCTCCCCTCTCTATTATTAGAAACACATTGTGCATTAGAATTACTATTTACTTCATTCCAAGTGGCAGCTACTTGTGGATTTCTAAAAGAAAGAAGACAGCCTGAAGTTATCTAAAGTAAAAAATTAAAAATTAAAAATCAAAGTTTTAGAACTGCTGATAAAATAATTCTGAACTATGAATAGCACTGGCTATTTCTCCATTTAAATTCATACTCTGAATAACTGGCTCTCGCTTTTCAAAAACTTCTGCTCTTTGGAAATTTAAGAAGAAAAACATCCAAAAAATCAAAGTTATACCTAAAAATAAAGAGGAAGGAAAATGTTAAGTTAGATACTTCTTATGACTTACTTGCATTTGATCCTAACAAACAGCAAATTTACCACACTACTGTACTCAGTGCTTCTCTATTTGCTTTTCTTCACAGGGCCAGTAAGATCACACTGGCCAAAATAGTAGACTTAAGCAGACTTACAGGAGAAAAGCTTAAATAAAAAGCAAGTAGCACTCTATTGAGGTTTTTCTGCTCCATATTAGAAGCATTAAAAAGTTAGGAACATGTTAGAAAAACAAACTTCCAAGTTCTTACCGAATGTTAGTAACAGGTTCAGAGTTTTCATGTTCAGACTCATACTCTGACTCTTCAGTTTCTTCATCTTTTGTGTTTTCATTTACAGCATCTGTCATCATATCTGATGTTTGTTCATAATAATGAACCAATTCTCTTAGTTCATTCAATCTCTTTCGAACTTCATTTAACTTCCTGATAAACAACAAAAATGTATATATAATAACTATTTTAGCAAAATAAAGCATGCAGTATTTCCATATAAAAGCAGCCAGCACGGAAAAAATTCAGACCTAGTGCAGTATCAGGGGGTGTGACTATAAAGCAATGAATTCAATTTCAAGGATAGCTTACTGAATATCTCATCACTCCATTTTCTTATAACCTATTAGAGACAAAGGCATTAAAAAAGCAGACTTGGTTTCTTAATAAATAGTGAAGTACTAAATACTCAATTTAAATACTACCTCTCAGGCAAATCAGGGATGCAGACGTTATTAGGCATTTACAGAAGGTTCCTAATCTGTAACACACAAGGGATCTGTAAGGTTTATAATATGTTTATCCCAAGTATTAAGTTTGTTGAGTTTCTTATTAAGTGCCAGAAACTATGCCAATGTTTTTTAATCTGTAAAATACCTTTATGAACAAGTATATTATTATCCCTATTTTGCAGATGAAGAAACAGAGGCTTAGTGAGGTTAAGTTATTTGTCCATGGTCACACAGCCTTGTAAGAGGATTTGAGGGCTTTCTGACTCTAGGGACTGGGCTCTGAATTCAGAATCATTTGAAATATAAAAATCTTTTAATGCAATCCCATCTATTTCTAATCCTTTAGCTAGAAAATGGGAATGCATTAGCTCACAAAAATTACCTGTATTACAATGTCACATTTTTCTTGGCTAACTCAAAGGATGCAGATATAACACACCCACACTTCTTCTACCACCTCTTAATTTAAGAATATTTATATTACGTAAATTCAGTTTTTCCAGAATTTTCAACAAAGAAAAGAAACATAATTTATCCCCATTATTCAATTGTATTCTATGTAAACAATATTTGTAAAAATGTTTTACTGGAGTTTTTCAGTTGGATTTAGATGTCCTTCATTTTCACTCTCATTCTGAGAAACTAGAGAAGCAGCAGGATAAGGAACAGATGACGTGAAGCTATTGGATTCTCCATTGACAACTGGTGCTAAGCCTATAGGAGCAGAGGGAGCTGAAGTTGTACTTCTCTGATCCACACTTCTTTGTGGAGAGGCTGAAGAAGGCACAACTACAAAAAAAAAAAAAAAAGACCAGTTACCATAAAATAATATGGAATCAAACAACACTTACTCAGTTTGCTTACATATAAAAATAAAAAGTAAAAATCATTAACAATCTTACATTCTGCAGCTTTAAATTTCATAAACGTTAAGTGTATAATAGCCAGGCCACTTATTCAACCAAACAGACTTAGGGAAAAAAAAAAAGGAAGACAAGGTGGAAATTGACAAAAACTATTATATTCTACCTTAAAAAGTAACCAGTATATTCTTTGATAAACCTGATTCTAGGTTAAGTTAAACAGGGCAAATGTGGGGCACCTGGGTGGCTCAGTTGGTTAAGCGTCTGCCTTCGGCTCAGGTAATGATCCCAGAGTCCTGGGATCAAGCCCCACAACGGGCTCCCTGCTCAGTGGGGAGTCTGCTTCTCCCTCTCCCGCTGCTACTCCCCCTGCCTGTGCTCTCTCTCTCTGTCAAATAAATCAATCTTTAAAAAACAAAAACAAAACAAAACAAAAAACTTAGGGCAAATGTGTATGATGTTCAGTACAGCATCTACAACTCTTTACAACCCTAGGGGTTTAGGCCCCAAAGAATGTCCCAAATCCACAACTCAGAGTAATTTTATCTGGTCTCCAAGATGGAATTTTCCTTATTCCAAAAGATAAAACAAACTTAAAGTAACTGTAGTACATTCATACCATGAAATACAACTCAACAATACAATTTTCTAATTAGATAATGGCTTATCTTCTATAGTCTTTGAACTATATGTTAATTACTTTTCTGTCCACATGGATCAAAGATACCTTATGCCTTCAAGGAGAATGAATGAAGATTAAGAATCTTTGCACTTCTCAATCTCTGTCACTTTAAAACTACTGTCATTTATCTCTTTCTCACAGGGACAACCATCATTATTTGTTGCTCACATTACCAATTGCTACAACTGGTTTCCAGCAGTCTCTTTGCTCTATTCCTTGACTGTTCAACCTTTTGCTACTGCTTTCACACTGTTTCCCAGTGTGAAAAAAATCATTTTTTAGAGTCATCAGTAGGCAAAGTGCTACTTTATCATGTATATAAAACTGACCACCGGGCCTTCAGTACAACTTTCGAATTTTAAGTTTTTCTTAGCTGTGTCCATCTGTATAAGATAAGCATGGGGGGGGGCAGCATCTGGGTGGCTCAGTCAGTTAAGCGTTTGCCTTCAGCTCAGGTCATGACACCAGGATCCTGGGATTGAGCCCCACGTTGGGCTCCCTGCTCAGTGGGGAGCCTGCTTCTCTCCCTCTGCCGCTTCCCCCTGCTTGTGCTCTCTCTCTCTAATAAGTAAATAAAATCTTAAAAAAAAAAAAATAAGCATTGGGATTAGGTTATACTCTAGAGGAGGAGAGACTCCCAGAGGTCTGGGAAAAGAAAGGAGGATGTTTCAGGAAGAAATACTAAGGTTTTGGGGGGGGGATAGCAGAGAAATAGGAGATGGGTAAGGAATAAGGAACAGGGAGACTCCAGAGATGTTTTTCCTATCCCTTGTCTTTTCTTTAATAAGACAGCACCTGGAATATTGAAGAATTATGACCAGCTGGGGTTGACCCTACTGATCAGTTTCCCATGCTAGAGCTCCTACTACTATTTAGGTAAGAGGCAAGGACCAGGCTTGAGAAGGTGTGAAGACAGCAAATGAGGACTAGTAACTGGATCTCAATCAGACAGAAACAAGTAAAACATCTTGCAGCAGAAAAGGTGGTTCCTAAAGTGCAACTAGTATGACTATGCTTTTCCTATTCCTCCTAAGTGACCATGTATTTCCAAAAAGTTATAAACTTCTCAGTTTATATAGTCTACAAGTTATAAACTATGTAAGTCATAAATTTTTTGCACTAAACCATATGTACTATATGTTTTTCATGTCTTTTTTTAATAAATACTTTCTAAATCTGTTTGATAGTTTTTAAATCAAAGTACCAATTTGGATTAGTTTTCCTTTAAGGGAAAATGTGAATATGCTAAAAAAATCCAGGAACATATGTTCAAGTATCTAATAGTTTACCTTCTCTTTTTCTTTCCCCTGAATTAAAATCCTACCTATTTTTCAAGGCTTAAGTTTATTCTTTACCTTTACTGAATTATAGAAACAGATCTCCCATCTATTCGGTTATCATCATATAATGACTTGCTACTTAGAAACTTTCCCCATGCAGAGCACCTGGGTGGCTCAGTTGGTTAAGTGACTGCCTTCGGCTCAGGTCATGATCCTGGAGTCCGGGGACTGAGTCCCACATCAGGCTCCCTGCTCGGCGGGGAGTCTGCTTCTCCCTCTGACCCTCCTCTCCCCCTCTCTCTCTCTCTCTCTCAAATAAATAAATAAAATCTTTAAAAAAAAAAAACAAAAAACTTTCCCCATGCAAGTCCTATCTCTCATCAAATATTGTAATTTTCTTTAGGAGCTATGAGTTCATTCATTCACCAGATATTTACTAAATTAACTATTGCATGCCAGCACATATACTCATATGTCCTCTACCTAATACTACTGAGCCGGCTTTACTTACATGATGAATTGTTCAGATGTTGATCTCGAAGTGTATGAAGTTCTCCAAGCAGTTTGTCCATTTTTTGTTTCTTTTCCTGTAATACTTTCATTTTGCTAAAAAGTTGTACTTTCTCATCAGGTAAGCGTTCTGAAACTGAAGGATTCCTGCTCTGGGAAACCTCCCTAGTTAATGAAAGACTTTCCGCTTGTCTTCTATTGTCTGGAACAGTTGGAGGCTTATTTAAAATAAAAAAAGAAGAAGACCAAGGCAACAAAAGGTTTGATTCTCATTTTAAAAACACATAAATACTCTTATAAAAAGCAATAAATATTTGCCCAGGTTGTCCTGATGGGTAAGCATATGCCTTTCCAATTCCCAAATTACATACTATTTCCTGATGTGCCACTATAACATCTATATGGTTTTATGGACACATATTACTACGCAGTGGTCCTGAATTCACTGGACTGAATTACTATCTGGATCTAAATTAAGTGCTAGAAATGTCTTTATAAACCTTATATAAACTTTCAAAAATCTCATTCTCTCTCTCTTGCCAGCTTTTTACAAACATCATCATAAACTTTTTCTTAATCTATCAGTTTTTCCTAGCACTTCTTTCCTATGATCCTCTATTAAAATTTTCAAAAATCCACTACGGCTTAGGAAATCATAAAATGAATAAACACCATTGAGCTTAAATTTTAACATTTTGCCACACTTGCATCAATTCTTTTTTTTTTTAAGAGAAATAGAACATTACAAATAAACTAAAGCTCTATACATACCAACCCCCAATTTCATTACTTTCTCCAGGGATAAACACAATTACCATCATCACATATGTTTATATATTATTGTACCTACGTAAGATATACATCCTTCACGCATTTTTAAATATCAATCAAGTGGTATCCTTCCTAAACTCGTGTTTTTCATTTATTAACTCTGCCTCATTTACTGTAACTGGCTATAAGATTTCACTCTACGCATATATCATAGTTTATTAATCCATTTTCCTGTTTATGGACATTTAGATTGTTTCTAGATTTTTGCTATTAACAAAACCTGCCATGAACATTCTTATAAATATCTCCTTGTGAACGTGTGAAGAATTTCTCTAAGATGGGGCATTTGCAGGATCACCAAAAAAAATGTGCTAGATATTGCTAAATAATTCTACAAAGCAGTAGACCATATTCATTTATTTTTACCTGGTCAGCAGACAGGAGACATTGAATCCTCATACTCATTACAGTGAAGAGGTAATAATTCACCCTTTCTTATTCAAGGCCCATAGACTGAAATTTTGTATTTAAATCATTACTTACAAAGGTCATCAAATTATAACAATTAATTCTGAAATTAAACTTAAGAACTTTCTCCAAAATCGTTAGTAAAATATTTAAGGACATAGATTCAAATATAACTTAAGCTTTAGAGGTTATGACCATAAAGAATCTGAGAGGAAAAATGAACATATTATCTAGTAGCATACAAGGAGAAAGTTTCACTTATCACTGCATTCAACGTAGATTTTCCTCTAATTGTTTCTCCAAGTACACTCCTCAGACTACCAGCAGTGGAATCACACAGTGGGGAAGCCCACCTCAAATGTATGAATCATACATACTTTAGGAGTGAGGGGATCCCAATGATCAGAACACTACTTTTTTTTTTTAAGATTTTTTTTTTTAAACAAAACGCCAGGTGATATTTATGCTACAGTGAAGTTCGGGAGCCACTGGCTTAATTAATATGATTTTAAATTCAACTATACTAAAAAAATTAAATTACCTGAGAATCACGAAGCTGATTATGAAAACGCTGAATTAAATCATTCAGTTCTTCATTTAGTTCAGAGGTGATACTAACTCCAGATAGGCTACCTGTAGTTTCTGTTACAACTGGAAAGAAAATTAACAACTATTCATTAAAGCAAACAAATTAATAGTTTTCAATTTCTGAGAAGCTAAAAATAAATTCTGAGGGGGGAGGGGAAGAATTTTAAAAAATCTTACCTAATTTAAAACTAGTTAACCCTCAGATTTACCTCCCAAACAATCATTTTAATAGAAATTTCCATCTAAGGGCGCCTGGGTGGCTCCGTCATTAGGTTGTCTGCCTTCGGCTCAGGTCATGATCCCAGGGTCCTGGGATGGAGCCCCACATCGGGCTCCCCGCTCGGCAGGAAGCCTGCTTCTCCCTCTCCCACTCCCCCTGCTTGTGTTCCCTCTCTCGCTGTCTGTCAAATAAATAAAATCTTAAAAAAAAAAGAAAGAAATTTCCATCTAACCTGAAAACAAAGGGACACAGAAAAGTCTAATAGAGTGATTCATCTTTTTCTGTCCCATCACTCAAGGAGGGATACTGTTACATTCCAATTAAGAATAATGACTCAATGGAGTAGGGAGTGGACAGGCCTATCAAGCTGGGTTGGGGGAGTGGCAAGGGAAAGCGGTTAATCTGAAAAAGCACAGCTGATATTGACAGGTCTCAATCCCCACCTCCCCCAAACAGAATCAATGCTCTAATACAGGGGCTAGCAAATTTTTTATAAAGATTCAGACAGTACATATGTTAGGCTTTGTGGAAACAGTTTTTGTCTCAACTACCCAACTCTGCCATTGCAGGGAAAAAGCAACCACAAATGATACATGAACAAACAGGCAAAGATATGTTCCATAAAACTTTATTTTAAACAGTGGGCCAAATCCAGCTGGCCATAGCTTGCTGACCCTTGCAGAACAGATTATTTACTAAAGTAGTTGCTTCTGATACAATGCATACTACAAGACCATAGTTTTTATCTTCCTATGGCAGTATTCCTGAGGCAGTATTCTGATGACAATTTTGATAATGGGTTACTGCTCTACTACCCAACCACCCTGTGCTTATCCTTTCCAGCTCTAAAAGAGACACTGGCTATAATCTGTTTCTGTTTTAAAGGAAAATACTAGCTTTTTCAAAGAGAAATTAGAATTTCAGGGCTAAATAGAATCCCTTTAGCCCTAAGTTAAGTGCAAACTCTATTTTGAAAAGAAAGAAATTACAGTGTAGATTACTAACACACACTGCTAGTTGAGTAAAGAACAACTCTTTCCCATGACTATTACTCTGCCTCACTTATATACCAGAAGATTAAATACTATCATTCTGGTTTTTCATCAGAAATCTCATAAATACAAGAGAAAATGTTTCATTTTTTTTTATTTTTTTTTTTTAAGATTTTATTTATTTATTTGAGAGAGAGAGAATGAGAGATAGAAAGCACGAGAGGGAAGAGGGTCAGAGGGAGAAGCAGGCTCCCTGCTGAGCAGGGAGCCCGATGCGGGACTCGATCCAGGGACTCCAGGATCGTGACCTGAGCCGAAGGCAGTCGCTTAACCAACGGAGCCACCCAGGCACCCAAGAGAAAATGTTTTAAAATTACTAACCTAAAATTCTTTTTGAGATAATATAAAAAATAAATTTAATCGTAAACCTTCGTTCATTCTACTCCTGGTGTCTGCCTCATTATACTTTAAAGAAAAAAGTTCATATATTCAGGAAAAGAAGACCTCTGACCTAGAATTCAAGAAATCTGATTTTACTAGTATGTCATATAAGTATAGGCAAGTCACAAACTCTGTTAGAGCTCCTTCTCTTCCAAATGAGACTAAGAAAAAAAGCTCTGGAGACTAAGCTACAATTTTGTGATAATCAAATGAGATGATATATATGTTAAGTATCTGAAATAACATTACCACCACAGGCTTATCTCTGAAATCTAGAACTTGAAAATTATTTAAAATACTTAAAAGTCATTAGCCATTAACTAGTATGTCATTGTTTAAACAAGTCATTAGCCATTAACTAGTATGTCATTGTTTAAACATTTTGTTTTATTCTAAATTACCTATTTCCTAAATATAAATGTAAAAGCTAATGAATTCTGGACTTCACAAGGGAAAAATGTGTTGGAAATGTATATAATTATTACTGTACATATTATATATATAAAATACACAATTATGTAATTATTACAAAAGAATAAGTTACTTGCAAGTCATACAGTTCCATATGAAAATGCAAAATTAAATTATGTATAACAGTGATCGGAGGGCTAAGCCACTGGGCTAGGCGTGGACAGCAGCATAAAGTGAGTAATAACAAGGTAACCTCAGTGAGGACCTAAAATACAGAGCCCACAGGAAATAAGTTATTATTAGACTAGGATAATAAGACTAGAAAAAAGACCTTTGTTTTACTGAGTTTTAATAGGTAACAAGTTGTTTTCAACTTACTGAGAAATTAAACAGGTTTGAAGATGATGAAACAAACTATAAAATTAGACTCAATACTAAAGAATTCAATACAATTTCCACCTAAATGATACATGACTATGAAGGAAGAAAGAAAAGTGAAAAAAACGTTTCTAAGTCTCAGGAAGACTATATAGAATATAAATACAGTTCAAAGGAACTAGTGTATACAACTGGGCACCCAACTGAAATAACAGAGCTACTACCAATATCAGAAGCTAAAGAAGCTCTACAAATTTATGCACTGTCTCCCTTAATGTTTTGACCTTTCCTTGGTAGGCAGGAAAAGTATGGCAATCCCAGATGAATAAAGTACAAAAAGTGGGGGGGGAAAAAAAGAAAAAAAAAAACATTCAGAGCCCTATCAGTGTGAGGTACAAAAACAGAACTACAGCCTGTCCCTTTTACCTCTTAAAGGTACTCTCTGATGAAAAGGAGAGCGAGCTGGCTGTCTGCCCGGTACAGTATGATGGCCAGGAGTTGTCCCTGCAACCTTTTCTGCATAACCAGAGAAAAGCACAGGACAGGGTAAGCCTCATATGTAGGTTTCTAAACTAGTCAATATAATCAAGACCCGATCATATAATAACCAGCATCCACCTTGCAATACCATTATTAATTGAGCCTTACTTATAACAACAACATGCTACACTGTGGCATACCAGAATCATCCATCACAGCAATAGCTTGCTCTGCTTTGTGCTGCAGAGCAAGAAGAGCAGCCTGTCTTCCCTGCAGAGCTCTCAGTTGCTCCTGCTGTTGTAACATCCTTTTTAATAAGTCATGTTGTTTCTTCAAATTTTCTATCTCTTCCATAGGCTCCTGCTGAGGATCTCTGGCCTGGAAAATAAGACCAACAATACTTATATCTGATTATTAAAATTCATGTTCCTGTTTCAACTACCAATGGCACGGTATAGACACAGATGATAAATTAGTATTAAATACACAACGGTAAATACAGTTTCAGTAGACTTGAAGAAAAAAAGAATAAGAATAAAACGGTAACACAGAGATAGCCTGCCATGTTGAATTAGGTAGTTAAGTAATTTCACAGTAAAAGATCATAAGCAATAGCTTAGCATGAAGAGGAATTAACAAAGAAAAAAAAGCATATAAAAAAGGAGCTCAAAAGGCTAAGAGAATGCGTGCACGCGCGCGCACACACACACACACACACACACACACACACACGGGATCCAGACCTTATAGAAAAGGAAGAACAGATCATACCAGGTTAATGCCCTAAAAATATCCTTGAAGAAGATCAGACTAAAAAACATTCTGCCCCACTTCTAGAAGTGATGTTAAAAAATACTAATAAGGGGCGCCTGGGTGGCTCAGATGGTTAAGCGTCTGCCTTCGGCTCAGGTCATGATCCCAGGGTCCTGGGATCGAGTCCCGCATCGGGCTCCC